TTCATAAACTATTTATGCTTTCTGTTGTGTGCGGTTTTAATTTCCATTTTATATTTATTGTTTTTGGTCATTTTGTTTATTTATTTTGGATATTTGAAATATCTGCAGCTCCAGTGTTAAGTGGTTTTTACAAAATTAAAGTTTATTGATCTTTGAGACGATGAACTGGCATTGTTAAGCCATTATCAGATTACTTGCAAATGGTCTCAAACAATTACTTGATGATTTATCACATTAATATCTGGGACAATTTATCATCAAGTAAAATCATGGAGTGCTTAATTAGATATATTTCTCTCAAGATCTTATTGATCTAGATCTATTTTATAATGAATAATTGTTAGTTTTTCTGCAGAAAAAGTAGCATAGATATATTTTGCCTTTATTTACCCAGGAGAGTCAAAGAGAACCAATTCTACTTGATTTCAGATTTGTATCTGTAAAAAACATAATTAATCATTTTACCTTTATCCACCTGCTTTGCAATTTATGTTGGCGAATCAATTAAAATCTCAATACATTCTGCAGAGCACTTCTCAAACTGTCACAAACACAGCTGAGGTTTTTTCACACTGCTGTCTAGCAGTGAAGATAGGATGGTGAACTTTTCATAAACTGTCTTGCCAAAGTTCTGGATAAAAAAACATCCAGTCCTACCAAGCGTGCTGTGTTGGGTTGAGCTGACAGGACTGCAGACTGAAACTATTCTGCACCGATATTAAGCCCCTGTCAAACAGAGGTAGTAATTTAGACAGAAAGCCACAAGACTGCTGAACTATTTTTGTTCATTTTAAATTTAGACAGACTTTGCAGTGATTTTTTTTTATAACGGAACAAGTGAAAAATGTGAGGATATGGAGCCTTGGGGAGACTGCAACATTTAGTGCACAGGAAACGCTCCGTGCCATCTGGTCTGTGCTTTATTTCTGTAATCGCTGCTCCCATGCACAACAACAAGCCCTCAGCATGACAGTTCTTAAAGCAGGGCGACGTTTGGTTTTCTGACATCTTTCGACGCAGTACGGCTCAATCTAATAAAGGATGCAGAAAAGTATTTGCATATCACATGCTGGAGCTATCTGTTGATCATGAATGCAACTCACAACAACTCCAACTGAGACGCTGCCGCCGTGAAGGCTTTGGAGGTGGTGCGCTCTGCTTTGAGACGGCTCGGATGAAACGAGAATGCACCGCCAGAACACGAGCTACAAGCATATTCTTGTTTTCTTTCACTTTCTTCACAAACTTGGGGTTCTGAATGGCTTGACAGATCGGGTTTGGAGATGAGCTTGGAATTCTGTTCTTTTGTTGCTTGACAAGATGCAGGACAAAGTAGAAGAAACAGTCTCACTTTTCTACAATCCTCTCTGATAAAAACTAATTTTTCTTTATTCTTTGCAACGTTATACATGTAGTACAGATGTTTAGCATTAAAGGATGAACAGGAGTGTATCTGTTAATATTCTTGAGAAGATTTAAAAATAAAACTACACTGAGGGAATATCCAACATAAACATGCCTCCTTATATCCAGATCTCCTCTAGGTGTTGAAATCACAAAAATTGTTTTAGCATTTTATACCTCAACTTTGTCGAATTCTGCCTAAATGAAATACGTAAAAGGCAGATTTATAGTTGTGTGTCTGGAGGCTGCAGAGGATTGGAAAGGAGCCTCTAGAGCCAGAGAGCACATCCTCTTAAAACTGACTCTACATCACAGCTGAGCGAAACTCCTCAGGGTCTTTAAGAACTAAGACTGCTTGTTTATTTTAAACTTTAATCATCAGCAAACCTCTTTTAAGTACTCATGGTGTATAGTGCAGGTCATGGCCTGTAGGAACCTTTAGCAGTATCTAGAAGGTGAGCACAACGAAGAACACCTTGTACTTTAAACAGCTTTAACTATGAGACACATTCACTGTGTCTCAACAGCTTCTGGAGGCTGAAAGCTTTGATGAAGCACAACTTATCCATCTTTGCTCTTTGAAGAAAATTCCTTCGAAGACGCAGCTCTTTCCTACGCCAAATTACGTCGAACAGTGAGAACACAACTCTACGGAGTGGAGAACCTCATGTTTCGCTTTTCCATTCAGCCTGATTGAAGGTGTTGGTAAATACCGACACCTCATGCGCCAAAGAAAGAACTAATCTAAGGAGTTAATACAAACAGGTGAAATGTAAGAGTTTATTAATGGACTGTTACATTTAACTCAAGTAAATACTGGCTTAAATGAAAAAAATATCTTAATGCTGCTTTAGGCCAATCTACATCCTAACTCTTTGTAAATGGTTTATTTAATGATGCTTTATGAGTATAAAACTGAGCCATATGAGTATAAAACTGAGTTATGTTACCTTTTCTTCTGAGCTTGAGGTTTGGTACCAATGATGAATTTAAATATTTTTTAATAACTTAATCATAGCCTAGTGTAAAATGATACACTAAGGTGACATACACAGTTTTGAAAGACAAATATAGGAGAATGTTGTCAAGGCAGAGTTTAATTTCTAAATTTTATTTTTTAAATCAATAAAAAAAGTCAGAGTAATATGTGTTGAAAAGTTCTGAACTTCTGTATTATTGGTACAGATTGGTCTCATCAAACAGATCTGATAGAAAAACAGAGGAGTCCTTGGCAAAAGGTCAGGATTTTAAGGTTGGAAGATTACATTTTGGGAAGTTTTTTTTTTTTTTTGCACGGTATTTAGTTTTGAAGTTGATCCACATTTCAACTTCAAAAAACATTTACATTTGAATTAAGTATCTCCCTAATTTAGTTTAACTTTAGTCGAAGTATTTTGTTGAGACGCATTTTCAACCAGCTCCCAGTTTTAGTCTGTCAGACAGACAATCCATCCAGTTTTAACAAAGCTAACTTCAGTTACCCTGAGCTATGTCTATGGTTAACATCTTTCTTGGAAAACTCACTGACTGAGTAGTAATCGTAAATCAGCTACTGCTCTCATTAACTCTGTGTACTCAGGTTTTCTTTCCTGTAGAAACTGCTCTTGGATTCGTGCTTCTGTCTTTTCTACGTACCTTCTCTATCCCGTCTAATCCCCAGCAATGGAGGCAGATCGACATTCATACTTGACCTGGTCCTGTTGGAGGTTTCATCTGATAAAGGCAAGTTGTTCTTTTCCACTTTTAACACACTAGTTCAGTATGAGGGGTTGCTGCAAAGTCAGTGACTCAATAAATCTGAGCTCCTTTTTCCCATACGTGTATAAAGTCAAACCCAATGCTATTCTTCCCCTCTTAGATTAAGATTTCAATTTATTTTCGTTCAACCAAGAAGTTTGTTTCTGATAGGAAAAGATGAAGCCATATCACAAAAGATAAAACAATTTAAAAGAACGATCTGCTTTATTTACGGCTCAGGGTTAGACAGGCCTGAATGAATAAAAAAAATTAAAATGAAAGTTTTTGAAAACAACAACAAATTCTAGTAAATTATGAGTTGGGGAAAAAAAGTCAAAGAGAAAACTATGTTTTAGCACCAACGGGCGCTCCAGCTTTATGATCTGTAGGAAAAAAACCTAACTTAGAGGAGAAGATGAGGACTTTGTGATATATTTGCAGAAATCGTTCTTATTTTCACAGAAGCCCTGAATTTCAGATACTGTTCATCTGCAGGACTAGTTTATTTTTCAAGTCTGACACTTTTTTTCTTCTGGGATTATCTCCTTTCATATTTTTTTAAGTACACAGCAAGCTTTCATGGTCATGGACAAGGATGGACAGAAAATGCATTAAAAAGGGTCAAAGATCAGGGAAAAGTTTCAGAAAGCATCATGAACTATGGATCCAAACCACTTCAAAACTTCTTGGAAACAGAACCCCCCCCCCCCGACACACACACACACACACACACACACACACACGACACACACACACACACACACACACACACACACACACACACACACACACACACACACACACACACAAAACTGAATTAAGCAAAAGCCTCAATAAATGTAACTATAGTAACTTATTGTTCAAGCTCAACAACATATTGAAATCAACATGAAGTAAACACATGAAGAATACTTTTATATTTGATTCATTCCTATTATTTTTTGTTTTTATTTCCTACTCATAAATCATTTTTAATAGAAAATCTACCATGGAGCAGGAAAAAACAAGCCAGTACTGCTGTTTAATAATCATAAGCACTAAAACAAAACCCTCATGAATCATAGGCAGCCCAGTCAATGAAAGAAAAACTAGAAATGCTCCAATATGACTAAAGAGCCAGGCTGAATATTTTTCAGATGAAAAGGAAACCAAATTGCAGAGGACAACTGGAACAACAATTGTTCACTGTAGAGGTTTTAATGTCAAAACAGCGGTCTGGCAAACTGACAACAGACAGCAGCCTGAGGCCCAGAGACAGACTCCTTAGAAGTGCCTCCGTATTACCGCCTTCCCTGCAGCCGCGCTCTCAAACCCTTAAACAGTGTGCAGACTGAATTTCTCGAGTGTGACCTCCATGATGCTGTCACCCAGCGGAGACGCTGCTGTTTTCATACTTGATTGTTTCATTTCGCACGTCTCTGGCAGCAGCTCGACGGAGACCGGCTTCTGAGTCACGTCCGTCAACGGTCACACAGGACCCGACTAATCACCATGCCAGGAATTAACTTTGTTTATTGAAATGATGTGAGAATCAAACCCGATGCCTGTTCGTCAGAAGCGTGAGCAGAAAAAGCCATTTTCTTCCTAAAATAGCTGAGTGGTGTTGAATCGTGGCGAGCTCTGCACCCCGCTGACTTACACACTGATTTATTCCGTCATTACTGTGAGTGATCAGCCCTTCAAAACTCTCCTCTATTATCTCCAGATGGGATGACGAACCATATTTCATTCTGATTTGAGCCTTTACTGCGGTGATTCGGGGTAAAGACCACCTGCCTGTAACCCACAGAGGTACCTATCTCTGCCCCACAGACACACACACACGCACACACACAATGCAGGTAATGAACGTTTCTTACCATTTTGGATGTCCAGGATATGATGTTTGTCTAACATCCAACCTCCCATGTTGGAGGCATCCAGTTCATAGCCCTGTATCACCGCCGTCCTCTTCTCCCAGAGCACCACATCAAGGCAGGACTCATATTCATATCCCACTGACACTGAAAATAATGGCAGGAGACGCCGACGGTGAGCTGGGCTGCAACCTTTTTACTTGACACTTATAGCAGCAATGAGGCTTGTAGCTCGGCAGTCACTGAGCGCATGTTGTGGTTGTTTTACGTGTCCTCTGGCTCTTTGGCTGTGCACTTCTCCCCAGCTGGGTTGATTTTAAAAGACCTGTGGGGTTTCCGTATCTCACCTGCTCCATTTGAATTTTATGTGCTCTCCTCTTATTTGTCTTGTGTAAATGCAAATGAAGCAGAAGGTAAACCTGCATGTGAAGGTGGGGCTGAGTCTCTTTAACAATAAAGTCTCAAGCGGAGCCCATTAAAGTAAACATCATAATCACTGCGATGTGGTTAAAAACACGAGTGCTGCATGAAGATGTCGGATTCTTATCAAACTTCTTGATTTTGCGAGAGGGTTTTCAGTTTTTTGAGAATCAGTGGTATTGTATTAAGATTATTTTAAAAAGGCAGCTGTTTTACTGATTGAATAATATCTTTAAAAATTGCTAAAATGTAACTCTTTTTTGGGGGAAAAGACAGACCAGGGTTTATGTTCTGCAATCATCTGTTGTTTGGTGAAATCGGTTCTGAAACTTCTGTGCAGGTTCTGGTGCCTGGGTTATTTTTAGTGGTTCCTGATCATTTACAATATAGCAGAACAAGTAAACAAGTCTTTGCGGCTCCTACTTTGTTATTTTTCTCTCTAAGGTTGAAAGTTGAGGATGGCTTGTCGTGTGTTTTGTTGCAACCTGAAGTGTGAAATAAACTTCAGTGGAGTTTGAAAACAAAATATGTGAATAGGTTTATCAATGTTTGTGCCCACTTGATTTTTTGTTTTTTTTTTCAGGGGGGATTTTATTGTAATCCATAGTATGGCCCAGAAAATCTTTGGGAACCACCGTCCTGTAGAATAATTTAAACTTTCTGTCAAATACTTTAGATGTGCGTGACAGAAAAATCACATTTTTAAAATAATTCAGAATCATATTTGTCAGCAAAGTCTGTGAATACCGAAGACTGAAGAGGCAGGAGTCCACTGTACATGACTCCAGGTGTTTATTGAAAAATACTTCTTTAGAAGCTCGCAATTGGTTTACCACAGCAGAGAGAGTCTGGTATTCAATATATGGGATTTTGATGTCAGTCTGTCTTTCCCAACTGGAAACTTTAGGTAAATTTCAGCTTATTTACATTAAACTTCATGCTTGTAAAGTTCAAGTTTTTAGTCTGAGTGAAGAATGGATTTTATTAGAAAAACCACTTCAATCAATGGATTTTATTGATTGAAGTGGTAAAATAAAGAATGGATTGAATTATGTTGGTTGATGCAATTTGAGTTCATTGTTTCATCTTAAGCCACATCAAAAATCTTTTGGAAAACCCTTTAAAAACAAAACCTATATTCAGATGTTATACAACATAACCATAACACAGCCAGCCCTGCAGATGCAGATAATTTCTTTTCAAAAAAGACTTAATGTTCCTGGAGAAGAGATTTTGTCCAACCCCAATGAGGATGCTACTGTTTTCCATATTCACCTCTCTAAAACAACCAATGTGCAAAACATAAAACCCAAGATTAGATATGTATTTACATAATATGATATTTGTGTTCAATAATATTTAAAATAGTAATTTGGTCAAAAAAACAGTTCCACATTATCTTTTTTCTACTTGCTTCATGCAGATTTTTTAAGGCCACTGCCTCATAGGCAATATTTTCATTCTTGCACAGCTGCTGAAATATCATACATGGAAAATAAACAAGTCAGCAGAAAAAGCGTCGGCCTTCAAAAAACATGCCGCACGGAGGGATTTGAGGATTTCACACCAACTGCTACATCTTTATTGCTCATGGTAACCAAAGCAGTCCCCAGCCAAATAATCTTCAATTGAAAAACAAGTGAAATCAATCTCTAAAAGTTCAAGCGAGGTTCAGCGCCTGAGGGCGTCTGACAGCGAACTTCTGCTTGCACAACATCTTTAGTGGGCAGCTTCACAGCAGGAACTCACCCACAGCCTCTGCCAGGCCGAAGACCTTCTGATTGTAGGCGTCTGTTTTATCCCAGATGAAGGTGTAGGAGAGGTCGGGGAAGGCCGGGAAAGACTTCTGGAACTGACGGCCCATGACGGCCACCATCAGGTGGACTTTCATCAGGCCAAAAGGGAGGCGGTCCTGGGTCAGAAGCACCTTGAGGATGGGCTTGTAGCCAGCTGCCCTGGAGCTCAGGTAGACCAGGTTGAGGTCACTGCCTGGTATGGCCACTTGCTCATGAAGCACCTATGATTTTAATTAGCAGTCAGACTGGTGCCAAAAGCACAGTGTGAAGAGCAGACATAAAAAAAACCCTCACATACAGCTAACAGGAGCAATGGGAGTCTGTATTTAACTTAGAGACTGGCTCTAATTACAGTTTATAAAGTTACTGTGCAATCTGCAAACTCTGTGCACATTACAGAGGTGTGCTAGAAAAATGGCTTCATCCCAAAGGCAGCAGATAAGTTCTTTAGAATCAGCAAGCAGAATAAAAATCAAATACTGTATGACTAATAACAGAAACTGTCTTTTTAGGGTGTCTCAGTTTGCACCTGAAGCTGCTATTATGCAAAAAAACACACACAGCAGTTTGCTTTTCTCAGCTAAAACCTGGCACAGACAGATGTGGTCCCGACAGAGAAAGTAAAGGCTGTGGTCACATTTCGCAGCGGGAGATTTCTCTGAACCGGCCACAGACTAAACATATTAATCTGTGCTGCTGGGAGACAATTTATTGCTTTGTATTTGGGGAGATACTCTTCCATAAAGACCCAAAAGACAGATCAGACCCTGTGTGAAATGAGCAAGACAAGCCGCTGTGAAACGAAGATAACATAATCAAACCCGCAGCCAGTAATGCTTGGATCATTCCTGAGTAAAAATACAGCAGTCATTCAAAAGCAATCAGATATAAGGGGAATTTGAAATTGGCTATAAAAACAATGAGAGGTGATGCTTCTGAGTCACCTCAGCGCTGTCCGCTCACCTGGGTCTCAGGGATGATGGGGTTGTCCTCTGGGGACGTTTTGTAGAGGGTGGAAAGTGGCGAAGCCAGAATGTACGGATTGGGCCTGACCAGGCCGGTCAGGTAGCAGCTGGGGATGTCGTTCTCTTCCCGCTTCATCACCACCGTGTCCATCACATGGAAGATGTTCCAGGGGAGCCACACGGTGTGCTGCAGGGTGGGGAACGGCGCTCGCTCATAACTCAGGGTCAGGCTGGCGCCGCCATTCGCCAAGATGTCAAACCTTCCCAGGACAGAAATATATGGAAAACACTGAATATTATCTATTGTAAACTAGCCCATTGTTTCAATGCACCATCTGAACCATTTAAACTGAAAATAAAATATTTCAATCATTTACCATACAGATTATCACCCGTTTGCAGTTCACAGATGTTTCTGTGGAAGGTAAACTGAAATTCTGTATCTTGGTGCAATCCTAACTGACACGCTAAAGTTGCTTTTTCCTTGCCCCTGATTGGCTGTATGTCCGAGAGATACAGAAGACTGTTGATGTTAGATTCTGCTGTAGTGATGAGATGGTTTCCACTGTGCATATTAATGCATATTAGGATATCTTTATTGATTAAATTATTAAAATACTTAAGACACCCCCTAAAAATCCACATTACTGGCTATTTTAACAGTTCAAACACCAAATATATCATAAAATTCAATAATACAAAGAATGAAACCCAACTTAGCCCTTCTGTAGAAACTAAGATCTACACTCTTCCTTAAAGCCAATCAGTGCCAGGGAAAATAAATGGCACTTCTCTAATTAGCATTATGTGCTAATAAGAGACACATTTCATTTTCATACATCCTTACTAGAGGTTTGTTCACATGTTTATGAAACTGCTTATATTGTAAATCAGTATTTCTCAAAGAGGGTGTTCAATAATTTTAGCTGAATTAAAGATTTTTTTAATAATATTTTTTCTTCTAAAGTGATGGATTTTTGGAATTAATAAAGTGATACCTAAACTAGAATTTGGGTAAAAAAATCTTATTGGTTTGATTTCTGATGAGAGCTGTGGACAGAGACTCTTTTTTTCCAGACCACCAAAGCAGAGAAACTTTTTTCAAACAAGTCCCAACCATTCAGCCTCCATTTAACATTCTCATTCACTGAATTTAATTTATTACTTCTGTTCAACCAGGCATGGCGGTGGCAGGAACATTATGGCTGAATTTGGTTTGGAGCAGGGCGTTGGGGGGCGGAGTTTGGGGAGTTTCCTCTGGTGAACTGGTGTTAATTAGCACAACGTTACTGAGGGAAGTTACTGGTTTGAAAATGAAGGGCGAGTCTTTGAAGTGCTGCTCTATATAGTCGCTGAGCTTCACACCCAGGGGACGCAGCATCTGTGTGGTGACATCACATGTATTCTCATGCACAAAGACACACTTGCAGGTTTCAGTGCATATGCACTTCTCTCACACACACACCACACCCACACACACACACACACACACACACACACACACACACACACACACACACACACACACACACACACACACACACACACATATACGTGCCAACAGCCAAGCTGTGCAGCTGACCTAAAACAGCTTCCTTCTCAAGCTCTCTCCTCTTTTGGGCAATGGGGAGCTCACAGCTGCAAGAGGCCATGCTTTGATGCTGCCCCTCCACCCTTCCCTTCTTAACACACTGAGCGGATCTGTTGGCTAACCAAGTGTGATTATCCCCTACCATTTATCACGCTTCTTGTCAGAGAGTTACAGGGCGGAATATCTGAAGAAATCAGCTAATCCTCAGCCATACGGGGACCCAGGGACCGCGATTCATAACAGCAGCTGTACAACTCCCTGCCACTCAAAAAGCCTTTTTGTTCCACACTGGCAACACATAAACATGGTCTTTATGCGTTGAATTGGAACCAAAAGTCTGGTTCATAATTTTGACAAACGGTCGTGGGTGTCAGCACTCCTCCCTCAGCCTTTCTGTGAAATATGCAACATACGCTTTCCTTGTATGTGTTTGCACTCCCATTATTAAGGACCTATCTGTGGTAATAGCAGGAGAAGGTCAGACAGTAATCCCATGTTTTACTACTCCACGGGCAGATTGATTCTACCCTCGCTGATTCAATGCATTTTAAACAGCTCGCTTCAGAATGGCCTCCACCATGGTGGCATTTGCATGAGGAATTGTTCTAAGGCACAATGTGATGCCGTTGTTTTGGGAAGCTTTTTGCTCAACCACCAGGACACCTGTCCCACTGTTGGACGCCTTTTACTACGACGTGCAGCTCAACGAGAACCTCAGAAAAAGCATGACCTCTCCATTTTCTTACAAGCAGCACCCTTTGATGTTTGTGAAAACAGGGAATTGCTTACATGCCGTCCTGCCGGGTGATGGTGTAACCGTAATGTGGGTAGTGCAGGAAAGACACGTTGACTCCAATCAGCGGGGTCCCATCTCCCGTTAGGACCTGACCCCGGATGACTGATGCCAAGCTGTGAAAGGAAACAAACAAAAAAATGAGCTGAGCAAACGAGCGACCGCTGCTTCACCACGGATCACAACTGCCACATGTTGGCCAGCGGCATGAAGACAGAGGTATGATTCACAGACTGCTACCAACACACTCACATCAGCGGCTGCTAGTCATGAAAAAGCTGCCATAAAGAGTCACTGTGTCTGTTTATTGCTTTAAAAAGCCATAATTTATACAAATAAAAGCTTTTGTTAACATTTTGCTGTATCTTGCACCTCTATTGCAGCATTTATTATTCAAGAGAACGCAAGGAAAGAAGCCTAGTTATGTATGAGTAAGCTTCCTCTTCTGACAGGTTGCAGCATACAACACCATTACAGTTCCTAAGGGTAGTCATCTCATTTATGGGGATATAACAGTGAATAAAAATTCAATGAGCACAAATGGAGTTCATTTACAGATTACATTTTTCTGATGTCTATGAATAGTTTCATAACGGTGTGCCATGTTATACTCAGAGCCTTGCAGAAGTATTCACATCTCTTGAGCATGTTTACACTTTTTCCTCATTCTCAGCATAAACTTTAATGTTTTTGTTGAGGGTTTTTAAGAAAGAGCAGCTAAGTGAAATATAACTGTGAACTTGGTTTTCAAGTTTTTAAATAAAAATCAAAGTCTGTCATGCATTTCTATCAGCTTTACTCAATAACGAACATTGGACATCTACAAATAAAAATATTTGCTTATTCATAAAAAAAGTTCAAGTTCAGTCAAACTGGATGGAGAGTCTCTGAAAATCATTGTTCAAATCTTTTCACAGGTTCATTGGATTTATAGATCCGTACTTTGACTGGGACATTTTAAGCTGTGAATATGCTTCGATATGAACCACTCCACACGGTGGCTCGCTATGTTTAGTTTTTTTGTCCTGCTGGAACCTCCTTTCCAATCAAAAGCTCTTTGGAGTCTTTCCATCAATCAGATTCCTGGTCACTTCTGGAAAAGAAGCCCAAAGCATGATGCTGCCACCACCAGGTGTCATTATTAAGTTCAGTGTCAGTTTTTTGGAGAGCATCATGTAAATGTGGCCTTAATAAATTGTTCTTGGATCAGGTACTGCCTGTTAGAACATTAATTTAATAAAACATAATGTGCAGTCGAGTGGAAATCCCATTTTCACTCTTTTGTAGAGCAAATCTTCCCCTGACACTGCAGGGCAATCAACCCCACACCTGTTTTTCTATGATGCTAGGGCAGAACACAAAGAAAGCAAAGTCCAGATGACAGAACTCTGTTAGAGAATTGTGTGAATGTTTTGGCTGTGTTGTTGTTTCAAGCGCTGAATCGGCTACGCAAGACACTAAGGAAAAGGTTAATGATGCATCGGTCAATTAGCCAGTGATCAATATTGGCTAATTTCTTTTCTTGATCGGCTTTGATCATTGATCTGAAGGTCAAATACTGAAAAATCGGATTTTCTTTCCTCAGTTCATTAAATCAAAACAAAAAAAGTCCCACTATTTTCAGTTCAGAAATGCATCATCAAACATGTTCTGTAATGGACCTTTTGTGTTTGACTTCAGTAAGTCTTATTTAAAGGTTCCAGGCTTGTGCTTTGATGTATCCAAGAAGATCATTTCTAAGGTGGATTTAAAACTCGTTCTTCCGTCAGAGACATTTTTCCTCTTTTATTTCTAGGATTAAAACAGAATTCACAGAAACGACTTTGGTATAATCCTTAGAAACAAACATTTAAATTGGTATGACAGACAGAGAAAACTTGTAAAGCCTGATTGGTGTGTCTCCAGTGAAGGTGAAAGCTGAGATGTATAACAACCGAACAAAATAGGCAGTTAGATGCTCAGACGGCAATGTAACGTCTGTGTGGTTAATGAAGGCAAAAAATAGAGTCTGACAATGAATATTCTTATTGGTCTGATGCTGCAGAAGGAAAATGTTTCTCTGAATTGCATCTGAAAGAACAGTGACTCACATGATGATTGAGAGAAGCATGTATGGTCTTAAAAATCTCCTTTTTCCTGTGTCATACCAGAGTTTCATGGCAGCAGGCTTTAAAAGTATCAGTGGTGATACTCATGATGACAGATATTACATCGACAAGAACAGTGTTACAAGCGCTCCGGCTCTGTTACAGATACACTCTTGATGTAAGAAGCCAAAATACTTGTTGGCTGATGTGTCAAGAGACACTTTATAGCAATTCAGAACAACGAAATACAACGCCGGAGGCAAAGTGTCGCAAAAGACAAAAACAACAAGGGTTCCTAAAAGGAAAAGCACTTCTGCAAAACAAAGGAGGATAACCAAGAAAAGGTTTAGAAAGGTGAACTCAGAAGTGAAGATGTGAAAGAAAGATGCAATTTATATTCCGAAAACACAAAATGTTCAGCCCTGAAAATGTCAAAATATGAAGGTTTCCTGTTTTTGAAAAAAATGCTCTATTTTCAAATAAGCACAAGAAATTTCTCTGAAAAAAAAAAAACATTTTCGACAAGTACTTTTGCCAACATCCACACCCGGGGTTGCTTTGTACAACCCACCTCCCACTGCTGACCAAACATGAATGCCTCTGGAGCAGATAGGGGGATTAAATACTTCACTTCAGGACAACACAGTGGTAGTTAGTCTTCTGTATGGGAGGGCATTATTCATTCACCAGCCCCTCTCATATTATTCCTGCTGGTAAATGGATTTGCTTCTGGTCAAAAAGCTTTCCACCAGCAGTTTCTTTTTTCCCCACTTTCACCTGGAAAAAAAACAGTATTTTTTTCACCTTTTTTATGCATTTCCTTTATAAATCACAGACGCAGAAGATTCATACATGATTTAAACTCCTGGTATCCTTGACCATTTTTCAACACGACTGCGAGGCCTTCAGGTAGAACTTGTATAACACCGATTCTCATTCCTAAATTCATGCTTGTGGGGTAATTTGTTAGGTCCGACCTGCGTTTGAAGGTAAAACGGAGCCAGACAATGTAATATTTCTCCATCAACATTTACTCATTTGCCATATCAGAACTGCACAGGGGAATTTTAAAGGCGTTTCTGCTGCATTTGTCATTGGTGAGTAAAAAGTGCTCATTTGGCTGCTTTATCTGGAGGTCATTACATATATGAGACAGGAATGATCAACAGCATGAGCCCCTCTCTTATTTCTCTCCTTGCATGACTGTATGCTGTCATTTATTTGCTGGGTTTTTTTAAAAGAAAAGAAAAGAAAAAAAGACCACTTAAGAGCTCCAGCAAAGGCTCCCTCTTTCTTCCCCGTGTCTCTATTAATCTTTGGAGAGGCAGACGGATGATGCAAGAACTGAAGCCCATAAACAAACGCAAAGCAACACCACCTGCTGAAACTCCAGAAATGAATCACAAAGTACATGCATTCTTATCTGTCACTGTCCCACACTGGCTGCAGAAAAACACCATCTGAAAACCCAGTGGGAGACTCGTGTGGGGACATGCGATACGGCTGAGGAACTATTGTGGAGGAGAAGGTTTGGACGGGGGGGGGGGGGGGGGGGGGGGGGGGGCGACGTTACACCACAACACATGTTTATTCTCTCTGCTGTGCAAGAGACAAGTTTACTGCCGAGTTCTGAAACCAGACCGCACACTGGAACCGGCTCCCCTTCTGTCAGATCACACAAAGGCTTTTTGGAAGAAAATAGAAGGAGACGAATGACCTCTAAGTATTTCCAATTTCTCTTCTGTCCCACATCAAGCACTCCGTGACTAACAGTCGCCGCTGCCGAGGAAAGTCTTCTTTATCGCCGTTGTAGCAGAGATTCAGACGCTTCTTTATGAAGCAAACTTCACTTCATGACAAGAAATGTTATCAAAAGGAGCTTTGAAACAAACACTACTAAGTTTTACTTTTAGTGTTAAAAGGCATTCATGCATAAAGTTGAGTTTTTCCACAGCAGTGATAATGTGGGTGGAAAAAATAGTTAATTGTCACATTTAACAGCAAGCATGTTTGTAGAGCTACTGAAATTCTGTTTTTTACTCTAAAGCTGACTTTGGAGAAAAGATAAAAAGAAAAATTTAATTTTTGAGAAATAAAGCTAATGCTACAGCCAGACATGAAATCGACAGTAAGCTCAAGACAATGAGGATGAGGATTACTGAGAACCCAGCTGAGGGGAATTGCCTCATTCTATATTTTCAGTAAAGCACGCTATTTACATAAGGATTACTTTAAACTGTTGGATGAAATAATCCCAAAGCCTTCAGCACACAGTTGGTAATCATTTTCCTCTCCATCAGTTCCCCAAAAACTTGTTTCTGTGAAAATGTAAATGCAATAATTTCCTGTTTAATTAAAAAAAAATCCTGCTTCACACCTGGAACCACAAATTATATTTACATCAAACATTTTAGTCAATTCCTATAACTTCGACAAACCTGACACTGAAGGTCCACATTTGAGGTGAATAAAAATGTGCATGGATATAAAAGTGGCTCAAATTAAAATCATATGTGTGTAAAATACACAATAAATAAATGCCAGATAATTAAATAATTCCTTCTAATGGAGGGTTTTTTTAGTTGAATAACAACTAAAAAAATTAATAAGTAAAAAGATTTTTGAACAAATAAATGAATAAAATGACTAGATAATAAAATTTAAAAAAATAAATGAATAGACTTCCATTTAAGCAATCATAAAATAGCCTTTTTGCAATAACTTATTTATTCTACATATTTAAGTAAATGAGTAAATGAGCAAATTACTGCCCGATGAAACCATGAATATTATTTCTTATGATGTATATCAGCAACAAGTCAGCAACAAAAACCCTCCATTTTAGTTAATGATTTATAAACCAAAGGAGAAAACTCAATGCTAAAATGGAAACTGTGTCGACTTGCACACAATAAAGCCCACATGTTGACTTTTAATACATTTTTCATACAGAGATAACTAACGAAATAAGGTTCTGGCTGCGTTTGATGTTCTTTTGTTGGAGGAACAGTTTCAAGTGAGCATCGCCTTCTCACTTATATCAAAAGATTTTTTTCTTGTGTGTAAGAGTTGCAGCTTCAGATCTACAAATCTGTGATGGTTGCCCCACTGTTCATTAAATATGTATATAAAGATTTCTAAAACTGTTATCTGGCACATTGCACATAGTGTTTTCCTTCTTAATATATAAATATTCTTGTTCACTTAATGTAAGCAAAAGGTGTCCAAACCTTTAGACATAATTAAAATGCTTGGGGGCAATTTTTAATAATATTGGTTTTGTTTTTCCATTTTTACCAACTAAACTAAACTATTTCAAGGCAACAATAAAAGCAGTCTGACTCCAGTACCTGAATCAAGCCTGAGTTGAGTAACCAAACCTATGATAGTCTTGAGTCGTGTTTTTCTGCCATAAGGATTGTTTAAACAGACAACAAGCAACTCCTGACTTCCTTGTCACTTCTGGCAGCTAAACTGCTGTAAACAAACCTGTCATCTTGACTCCAAAGACAAATACCTGTGACACTTGTGACGGTTCGACTGCACAACCACAGGTGCCTTCCTCACACAGGTAATTAGACAGCAAACAGCCAGCGTGAGCCAAATAATTAAGCAGGTGTCGGTGGCACGTAAAGCTGCTTACCTGCTGTTGAAAGGGTTATCCCCGGGTATCACATGGCTGCCACTGGGGCCGATCAGGAAGCTGACCCGGTCATAAAAACTTTTAGACGAGGGCTGGGTGGGGGCGCCGGCACCGGCGGCGGCACTCTGGCCCTGGCCGGCGACGGCGGCCGGGTCAGCAGAACCGCGACAGTAGGTCTGACCCTGGCAGGAGATCTGAGCGCAGCAGTCAGGATCCATGCAGTCAACAAGGCCATCTGAGAAAAAAACAGCAGGGAGACAGAGGGGACAGGTAGACTTGATGACCTGGAAAAGTCTGGGCTGAAAACCTCTGATGCTGCTCTGACTGCTGATGACTTTTTAGATGAACTTCAAATAAGAGCAGAGATGCTGACTTGACACAAAGTAAATTTTTTAAAGTATCCCTGAGGAATTATGAAGGTTCTGGGGCTTGTAATCAGGCAAATAAGCGTTTCATTGGAAATCCAGCCTGTGGAGCATTTATACTATAATCTCAACCTCTCTTTCTAATTGATCTACTTTATATTTTAGAGCATGCTGCTTAACAATCTGCACTGCTGAGGCATTTGCATATTCTTCTCACTGATGTTTTATGTATGATTGATTTGTTTTGTTTGTTTTCCGTGCCACTAAGGAGCCGGATCAAAAGCCGTTTTCCTGTCTGGTGCAATAAAGCTTCCCGGTTAAGTTCTTTCTTCTCAGACAATTTGTACTCAACGTTCGCTTCCTCCTACCTCCTTCGTTATCCTTGCCGTCGGAGCAGAGCGTCTCTGTGGCGACGTCGCAGCCGAGGCCTCTCCATCCGGACTGGCAGATGCAGTGCCAGACGTTCTGATCCAGGACGCACCTCCCGTTGTTGTTGCACAACCCAGGGCAGCCGTCTGTCAAAGCATCATGGCCGAGCAGACGAGAGACAGAAGGAGAGAGGAGAGGGAGGAGTGAGGAGACAAGAGCAGAAGAGGGCATGTGAGAGTGGAACGGGGGAAGAAGAGGGGTAAAAATGATAGAAGACAGAAGTGAGAACATACAGAACGATACACCTCTGACGGGACTGGGGATGGGGGTGGGGGAGTGACAAGTTACGGTCGTTTCACATGAGTTGAAGGGGCAACGACTGAGAAAAGTGAAATATAAAAGAGTAAAGAGAGTGAAATCTTTCACTTCCTGTTAGTAGAATAATGGGAGTGAGAAAAAAAACTGAGTTTTTTTAGATAGATTCCTCCTGAATCAGTAGCATAACTGTTGTTAATAATAATAGTACATATATTTTTATTTATTTACAACTTCAATGATTGCTTTAAAAATGTACACAGAGTTCCTGCACATTTTTATATATAAAACTACGTTTCATATATATTGTCTATAATTATCTGAGCTGCTTTCAAATTCAAAACTTCTCTATGAATAGAATATATTTCTACAGTGGAAGGATGGATGGATGGATGGATGGATGGATGGATGGATGGATGGATGGATGGATGGATGGATGGATGGATGATGGATGGATGGATGGATGGATGGATGGATGGATGGATGGATGATGGATGGATGGATGATGGAAGGATGGATGGATGGATGGATGGATGGATGGATGATGGATGGATGATGGATGGATGATGGATGGATGGATGGATGGATGATGGATGGATGGATGGATGGATGGATGGATGGATGGATGGATGGATGGATGAACAGACGGACGGATGGATGGACGGATGGATGGATGGTGTCAGGTTCAGAAATATCAATATTCTTCTGGTTTGTTTCGTTATTTTTATCCGGAGCTGTAACTTTCAGACTCTTCCTCTCGTCTCCAGACTGTGGAGGAACTCTGTGTACCGTTCACATCGGAGAGGCTGGCAATCCTTCACTCCGGTTTCCATCGACTTTGCCTGCAAATAATTAGCAGGAGCTGCTCGCTGCAGATGTTGGAAACACTCATGTGAAGTAACAGCAACATCAAAGGGAGGAGGAAGTATATATGTAAATAGGGGGAAGTAGGAGAAGAAAAGGAAGGAGGGTCAAGAGTCTCCACATTTACAGAAAACAGTGCACTTGCTGCCAGATCGCATTCCTTCTAATGGAGGGTGAAGACAGGGAGCTGAAACATGACTAAACCACACCAATTCTGGGCGTTTAATCTGGCAGACACAGGGAGTAACGACAGTGGTGGGAAGGGGGAGGGGTGGAGAGGGGACGTACCGTGGAGTCTCATGTGAGACTGGTTCAGACGGACAGGAGATGAGGGGACATATCGTGTGGGGGAGGTGGGGAAGAGTGTGAGGGCGGAGCAGGATCACAGCAGAAACATTATGATCGACTCGGACATAAAACAGGTGTATATACGCCGTGCTAGGAGAGACAGAGAGCAGGGAGGGATTGTTCATGACAATCTCCCTTGTGGGGGTAGTGGTTCAATTTACCTTTATATCCTATCTTGACTGCTCCTATTACACATCCGAGGAAAGGGAAACATTTGGAAAAGAAAATTACTTATCTCTGCGGTGGCAGTGTGCTAAGACTGGCAAACACATTTACTTAGAGTAAGTTGCAGAAGAAGCGGTGTCTGGAACACAGCTGCCTGTAAACGTAGCTTAAATATTTAGAGAAAAGGTCCTGCAGGTCGTTGTTTTCACCGCCTTTTAGTTGGACTCTTTCGTCTTGTGGCGTTATTTATGATGATTGTTTTGTGACAGCATACAGGTGCATCTCAATAAATTACAATATTGTTGAAAACTGTATTTCAATTTTTTTTTAAATTCCATTGAGTTTTATTACACACATTTTAAACATTTGTTTGAAATAAATAAATAAATAAATAAAATAAAAATAACTGAACATTTTTGATATAATTATGGCTTGCAGGTAATTAAAAAACACATTTCAGTTTCTCAGAAAATTTGAGTATTACATAAGATAAATAAGAAACCTCAAATTTTTAATTAATTAATCACAAATAATGACATTTTAATGGAAAATCTCATATTAGCAAGATAAGCAACATTTTCAATTCAAAACAACTGTCTGCTGAAAAATTATTAATTCTTCTATTTGCACAGCTTAAGTAATATTTAAGCATACAACCTTTACACTGAAGGTTATATTTATGTCCCGTACATAAAAACTTATGTGCCTTGAAACAAAGCTGCCTCATGTCTAAAGTGAAGTTTTCAGATTCAGTAATGATTTCAGGAACCATGTAATCAGCGCTGCCGTCTACCAGGACATTTTGGAGCAGGTCATGCTTCCTTCTGCTGACAGACTTTATGGAGTTCCTCGTTTCATTCTCCAGCAGGACTTGGCAGCTGCTCACACCGGCAAAAGTACAAATGTCTCCCACAGCATCTAAGCACTAATTCATCCAAAAACAGACCCAATCTAGTACTCAGTGCATGTAGAGCACATGCTCATACTTTTTAATAGCCCGACATGTTATCAATTAGAAATTGTGATTTACTTCTCTTGTGCAATATTTTATTTTCTTAGAAACTGAATTTTGTTTTTATATTAGGTGTAAGACATAGTTATCAAAATTAAAAGGAATAAACATTTAATTTGATAATTAAAATAATTTACTTTGAATTACAATATAATTTATTGAGGATTACCTGTATGATTAGTGTTAATGAAAGAGAGGGAAGATGCAAGTTCACCAAATTTCTGCCTTAAAGCGTTCACATTTTTAACCAAAATATGGATTCAGTTTGATTAGAAGCACATAAAAAATATTCATATGAAGATAAAAGTTGTGAACAAAGGGAAAGTCTTTTTACCTGATACTCTGGAATCCAAGGCTACACGTGTAAGCCAAGACGGAGTCGGAAAGAGACAGAGAGGGAGGCAGACAGGCATAGAAACATGGAATAAAGAAGAGAATGGATATAAGAAAGAGTTAGGCAAAGAAATGCAGAGAAAGAAACAAAGAAAATCTATGGACAGAAGTAACAGCAGCTACAGTTACAGAAGCTTATTTTTAGCTTAGTGAAAGGAGTAAAAAACTTTTAAAATAAAGCAGAGTGATTAATCAGAATAGTAAATGTCCCAGTGGGTAAAGGAGCCTTGATTTGTGGATATATTTCTGTTTAAAAAAACAACTAGAATCAATTCTGCAGCTTTGTTAACACTCTCCATCTTCTTTTTCTCATTTAAAACATGCACAGTTTGTCTTTTCTTTGTTTTCGGACCATCTGAATCAGTTTCATCCCAACAAAACATTTGCATCAAAACATTTCTCTGTCTGCATGTCAGCATGTGTACAGCCTCAGCTTCCAATGTGAATGGATCAGGAAGCACAGTTCTCTGCTTCTGTGCTTTTATTTATTTTTATTTTTTTTTACATCTTTTCATCATCTCCACTTCAGTGATTTTACTCTGAGACAAATCAAAAACACCTTCGCAGCAAACCGCAGTGCTGAGAAAGCAGTTGACAATAGGGTAAGCCTTGCATATAAAACAGGATCTAGATGCTTGTGAAAAAGAATGACCAAGGAAGTGCTCCATTCAGGCGCTGACCATGTAATGTGATTAAAAGGCGCTTTGTGCAAATGGCAGTTATTCAGAGTTTGAAAGACAAAATAAGCTCCCAGTTCCTTTAAGAAAAGGTAGCACACTGCCTATTCATGAGAGTCCAAAGCATGGAGTTACTTTCCTGACGGGAGCCTCGAACAGAAGAAAAGAAAGAGAAAATGGATGACGACGTGCAGAGGCGGCCCCCGAGGAGGGAAAGATTAATAAGATCAGGAATGTGACCCTTCCAACAACTCCCTCTCTGCAATCTCCTCTCGCCTCAGAGGTGGACCCGGGCTGCAGAGAAGGGATTGCTTGAGAGAGAACCTGTAAATACGTAATTAGGACTCGAGAGTTTTTGAGGGTCGGATCTTTTTGTTTTGCGGCTAATGTGCTGCCATGGAGAGGCGGGAGGATGACACTTGGGAGAACGGTGTTTGAGGCTGGGTGTCAAGGTTTAACTACAGGACCTTTGGCAGAGGGGAAAATGTGGAGGAAGTCTGAAGTAAAGGTCAATAAGAAGTGGCATCTCAGAACTCATTATCCTCATTAATGCCAGGTGAAGCACTGCTATTTTGGAAAAAAAGGATATTCCAAAGAGGCCTTCCAACGGTTTCATGGCTCCCTTAATACCTGCCCTTGACTCACTAATACAGAAGACCCACTTCAGCAGTTTAAAAGGTGGAATGTATTAATTTTTTATATAAATTACAAAGTGAATATGTGGTTCTTTTGAAGGAAGAATGTGTACGGTGCAAGAAAATAGAGCAACAGATGACAAAAAAGCAAACATAATATTCAAAGATTTACCATATAAACACTCAAAATTTTACAGCAGCAATTTGTTCTTCAAAAGATTGAAATATTTCCATTCACATCAGTTTCTTTATAACTCTTACATCTGGAGGAAAATCTCAGCAGAGAAAACATTTCCATTCGGATCAGCAGGTCATTGCCTTTAGAAAACCAAAGATTTGCTACTAATATGAATTTATTAAATAAAGCAGCCTGGGTGAAGGTGAAGGTGAAACCCAAAGCAGCAGAAGGAGAAATTAATAAAATCTAAACTTGAACAAGAACACAGAGTAGCACGTTGTTCTTACCGAAGAGGTTTTTTAATGAGTGAAATGTCTCTTCACCCAGGGTGCCACTGTGTCAGGCAGACACAAATTTTTTAAAAATATACATGAAATTTACAGCTAAATTAGATTTTACTGCTTAGTTGTTTAGTGAGTGAGGAGTTGGCACATTATGAGCATTTAAAGGTGAAAAATGCTTCATTTATTCATTTTTACAGAACTGTGTTCCCCAGAACTGATTAAATCTGAACTATACTTTGTCAGTATATAATAATCAAATCAACGTTAGACTTATTGTAGCATAAAATTGAAATACAAATATTCAATATTAACTGCAAAGTCTTTAAATGCCAGTTTGGATTTATAAAAACTATTTGAAAAAGAAATAAAAAATAGGAACAAGATTTTCCATGTATGGGAACCAGTCGTTTAATGGTTTTCAGGAAGTTTGACAGACCGCCTCCTGGCTGCTCTGATAGTTTCAGTTTTCTGTAGAAACTGGGCTCCAGCCAGCAGAGGTTGAGCTGTGCACCCTGAAAACATCACTAACAACTCCTGACTAGTTTGTGGTGGTTGTTCGGAGAGCGTGGGCAGCAACAGAAGTATAAAATGATCTAATGCCTCAAACCCTTTCTGAAAATACCAGCGTTCACTTTCCAGCATTGCCCTTTTATGCCTGCCAATAGATGAGTTTCCTCTGGGGCCTGGGTCTCTCTGGGAAGCGTGTGTCGGTGTGTGTGTCGCCGTGGCTCACCGATGGTGCAGTGCTCGCCCGTCCAGCCCTGGTGGCAGTCACACTTGCCCTCCCGGCAGACTCCATGGTCGATGCAGCGTGGGTGACAGTCCCTTTGCTCGCATTCTGGTCCCGTCCAGCCTTCCTCGCAGTGACAGGCACCACCGATGCAGGAGCCGTGGGAACCGCAGTCCACCACACACACTTCTGTTGCAGAAACAAGAGGGCCGCTGAAACATGCATCTTCTGTTCTCTGAAAGCCCTCTACCTCCTTCTGCATCGACCACTAAAAGAACAAAATCCCTCTCTAATGTTTGCTCAGAAGAGTAAAATTGGGCCAAAAAGTTCAACAGTAAACAAAATTTGTTTGTAGAACCATCTGTACATTTGTCTCCACTGAACAACTATACACAATTTTTTGTTGATGTAAAGTATAAAAATCCATGGAGCTTTGGATACTTATGTAAGCATCATCCCAAATATGAGAAATGTGATGCTTGCATATTAGAACTGCATATCTTTTGCTCCAACGAGTGAAAATGTTTGCCAAAAAATATATTTCCATCAATTCCCAGAGCCTGGAAACATCAAGACATCTCTGTAGCAAAGTGAAGCAAAATGAAAAGTAACTGTTTAACACAAATTGAATAAAGTCTTAAACGCTAAATAGAAGCACATAGTTTTCTAAAAATGCAAGAAGGAAGCTTTCAAAGTCAGATCACACCAACTTAATCCTGTTTCCTTCAGCTGCAAATTTTTGAGGGCTGAAATTATCTTATCAGCAAATTGATTGAATCCCTCTAACCAGTGGCTGTCATCAGGAAGTGTTCACAACATACATTAAGCATTTGTTTCAATAACCACTTTGGAATAAAAGAAATAAAAACAGACTTTTGTTTGTGATGCTTTCACTGTTTAAGGCTCCACTATTTTCATGGATTGCATTATTTATCAGTGCGGCTCTATTAAAATGAAACAAAACCTGTCTATGTCTAAAAAGCTTGTGAGAATAAAGAACTGCAATTACTGTATGTGGAAAAACTTCCAAAATAAGCACTGTGGCAAATTATGAAGCCTCACTTGCCTCGTCTTAACAGACTGAAGCTGGGTTCTTTTGTCTCGACTCAGAGATGTGTAATGAACATGCTTTCTTATAGTACTGCAAACAGAAGAGCAGCTGTTGCAGATATATGCTGTCTTCAGAAAACTGACACGTTTGGATGTGTTGTTGGTGAGGAATCTGAGTTTTTCATGTTAAAGCTAATGCTCAACAAGCTGCTTCTGCTCTTATGGGAGATGGAGACGTGCAGATTTTACAGAAAACAAGAACTACTATCAAATCTTTAGAACACAAATTTTTGCTGTGAGAGAATACTTTAAGAAAAATAACTTTTTTAAGGCTTTGAGACTCCAGGGAACCATAATGAAAAATGTTATCTACAAATGGAGAAAGCATGGGACAGTGGAGAACCAACCATTCACTCCAAGAGCTCATCAATGACTCAAGCAGGTGGTCACATATGTCACAGTTAAGATCAAAGGTCATGATTCTGACTGGACAGAAATACTATAGATAGGAGAGTTTGAAGGGTAAAATAAATCCCGACTAAATTTATTGTTGACAAGTTTATTTTATTTACTGGTTTCTGAACGCATCACCATCCCAGATTAGTTTTTACTCCCGCTGCAGAACTGGACTCACAGATGGCTCCTGTTTCAGTTCGATCATCAGAACTCCACTAGCCTCATTTTTATTTGGACTCTAGTTTTTGTTTAATCAATGTTTCTGCATCCATGGTATTGTTAGTCCTCCTCTTTCATTGTTTGGCTAGTAACTACATTTTGTGCATTGAGTTTTCTGTTGAACGTAATCTGCTTTTTAGTTGTTCTAGCTGCTCCTTTTTGAGTGTTTTGACACAGTAACCATTATTGTTACTATGGACATCCAGTTAATCCTAATTGCATCTAATTTGGCCATTTTAATGCTGTTCATCAGCTGTTTGTCATTTTCAATGACTTTTCAGAATTGGGATTATATTTCATTGTGTTTATTTTGTATTTCAATCTGTCCTGTTGGATGGATTGTATGTGTTGTGTATTACTGTAATTTCTTTCTTCTTAAATACATTGTAGTCAAGAGTGGCATGATTGTAACTGATGTCTTCTATCGTCTGTTATGGATTTACAACATGAGGAAATTGCCCATTTAAATGTGCTGAATTATGTTTGGATTACATTGCATCATCTCCTTTACATGAATGAGCCCCAAAAATGTCAGGAAAATGTTGTGTAGACTGACGGGACAAAAGTGTGTGCCCTGTTATAACTGGTGTAAAACTAACACAGCATTCTGACAGACAGGTACAGTGGTGGTAGTGTGATGGTCTGCGGTTTCTTTTCTGCTTCAGAATGAGGAAGATTAATGAAATCAGGAATTCTCCCCTCTAAATCCAAAAGGCAGACATCGGGCCAGGAGTTTGTGGTGTTGAGGTAAAACAAACTCGGATTTTGAATGATACAAAATTCACCTGCAAGTCCGTCTCTAAATGACTAAAAAGACAACATTACTATTAAATTATTGCTTTGAACTTGAAACTAGATAGATCATTACCTCTAGGATCAGTGTATCTTTGATCATATAGTTTGCCTTTTAGAAATGGGTAAGAAAAAACAAGAAGCAATTTATTTTGTTTTAAAATATAAAAATTTAACTCAAAGTACAAAATATTTGCCTTTTTAAGTGTCTAAAAGGGATGAGCAAAATTTAAAAAATGCGATTACATTTGAACTTACATTTCAGAAAAAAAAAAAAACCTTGAAACTTGTGGAATGATTTCTAAAAGGAAAATCAAAACGCCACTCCCGAAAAAACAAACAAACAAACAAAAAACACAAACACCCCGCTAAGTTTTTGAATCCAACATGTTGATAGAGAATTCTTAAATTTTTAGACTGCATTTCATATCAACTTCAGAGAAAATAAATGAATCAGAATTATTTGCAGCTCATAATGAACGAAGAAAGTAATAAAGAAGCTCCTCACATTGTTCATGGTTTTTCCTTTAATCCAGTCCACTCCCACTGTTTTGCCCTCACTCATCCCCTTCACAGAGGTCTTTTTGGCTGTCTGTCTCCTCCAGCTCACTGAATGGAGTTTTTCTTCGATTGAGGGACCTTGGATGGTTCTGATTAAGCTGAGCAGACACTGTAGAATATTAAGCGTGCCTCTGGAGGGGAGTCATTTAATTCCAAAGGAATACCTCCTTCTCATAGAATCTATGCAATCAATTTTTCATTAGTGCAAAAGTGTTTATCTGCCTTTAACATGCCCCTGACTCGAGCTGGATGGGGGTTGTGGGCGGTCGATCCATGCTACAGCTTGTTAATTAAAGTTTATTTAATTGAAGAAGAACCGCAGCATTAATTACGAAGGAATCCTCCACCCAGCCAGATGGGTAAACTCCCCAACTCTTGGACCGCACCGCAGCGAGGCCAGACTTATCAGTTCTGCTATTGACAAGATGTCGTGCTGCGTGAGTAGATTTGTCTGAAATTTTTGAACACTTTAAAAGAATTGAAAATTACTTCTTTAGACAAAACCTAAATGAAGTGGACACAAAGGAGGGAAAATAAATCCTGTTCTCTAACACAATCGTTCCTTTGTTCCTGCCCCATCCAAACTGGCTTCACGCTGCTTCAAAAGGTTTGCAAAGGAACCCGTTATTTCAAACGCTCCATCCTGACGCATTTACGCTTTGATTTTCACAAGTTCAGCCCAAGAGAGATACGCTCAACTCTTTTAAAGAGACTGAAACAGACTGAAAGTTCTGCTTTTAATTGTTTGACTCAGTATGTGTTCCACTTCGGCTGCAACACGCAGGGAAGGAGTCATCTCTGAGAGGGGCAACGGCGCATAAATCACCTGATTCTCAGATAGCCGCCAGGAGGGGCCAGCCTTTGAACTAACAAGACACCTACCTGTGTCGAAAGGCAAACCCATCTAAAGCACAGAAGGTAACTAATGAAGAGATGGCTGCAGGCAGACAGGAAGACAAAAATGTCTCTTTTTCCCACATCACATGAAGCTGTTACCAAAGACTTCCAAAGATTATTTCCAACTAATCTCTAAGTCCACACATGCAAAGGAAGAACATATGCTAAGGTTCAGTGGAATAAGAGTTTTGATATCAACATATGTTTCATCTTCAATCAAGGTGTTGATTACAAAACTGTAAGAGTGTGAGCTCACCCACAGTGTGATTTAATTAGTATTGAATTGGATGGATTTTTTAGGTTGAAATTGTTGGTGATTATAAATATGCTGCATATGTCACCTCTTAAGCTGTATTATTATTATTATTATTATTATTATTATTATTATTATTATTATCGGGATGAGCATTGAAACCTTTCTGGTAAATCCCAGTCTACTTCCAGGTCACACTAAAACATTGCTGATTCATTTATTTTTCTTTTAGTTGATTTACAAAGATTCAATATATTTAAATATTGAAATATCCAAGAAAGTTTAGGTTTGTTGAGGTATTTTTATTTTCCAGCATGTTTCCACAGGCTTTGGCTCTAATCCATGTTAGAACCAGTTTAATCTGATGAAACATGACAGATTATGAGTAAAAAATAACAACCACTAAAGTCCTGCAGGAAGAAACTATGGATGCATCACAATAATTATTGAAATTTTATTTAAATAATTCAGTACTAAAAAGGAAACTCAGATTCATAACAGGTTAATCACTATCATTAAAAATCCAATATTCAGTTTCTCATATAATTAGAGAATGATGTCTACAAACTAAAAATTAAACAATGTTAATCCAGACGTTTAAATTGTGGAGATGATTTGGATTTCATGTCTTCTCTTCCTCCACACTGTAGCAAATTAATGCTACATTTTCTTTAATTTGAAAAGACATGAATCTTCCCTCAACTCTTGAAAGGACTTTGATTCGCACTCATTTAAATGTCGTGGCTATCCTTGTATGGCTTTCTTTACCATATGTTTTCCTTCCACCAAACGTTTTGATTGGTATATGCATGGATATAGCACTGTCTGACTGGAATCATGACCAAAGAGCAACAGTCCAGCCATTTTTCTCCGCTGTTATCCTTGCAGATGGTGCCCTTTTACTGCCGGGCTTTTTTTTCTTCTACTGAACTTTCCATTAATGTGCTTGTATGAAGCAATCTGTCTACACCTGACAGATTGCAGCAGGTTACAGAGAAACCTGCTGCTGAAGAGGCAGCAGGTTTCTCTGTAAATAATTTTTGTTTAAAAATTGTCATGTATTATTTTACTTGTCTTTGAAAACAAATTGTGGGTGTTTGTTTGCTACAAGCCATAATTAGCAAGCAAAAGGAAATGCTTGCAATATATCAGTCTGTGTGGGTGTTAATCCTATATATACGTTTTATTGTTCAAATTGAAATAAATGAACGTTTCAATGATTTTAAGTTTTTTGAGTTGTGCCTGAGTAAAAGAAAGAAAATTGCTCTGGTTGTGACAGGTCTCTGAGGCGGTAACGCAGCGTCTCACAGCGGACGTCTCCTTCACCCGGCAGAGGCAGTCAGAGGCAACAAGGTAAAAAATGTCTAAAGACGACCAGCTGCCGTATTAAACAAATATACTGATAATGAAGTATCATTTCCAGAGGAGTCTCTCCTCAGTCCTCCTGTTTATTCAGCAAACTTTCCAAGCGTAAGCGGCTATCAGATGTAAACATTTGTCTTCTAAGACTCAAGGAAAGTATTTTGTGGTGGATTTATTTTCAGCGCTCACCCTCAGATTATTTCCGAGATATAAAACATTGAGGCAAAAAGGCATCTAAAAATCTTCCTGTCCAAATAGCTGGAGCTGGTTACATTGTTCTGAATGAATTCTGAACAAGTCGACACAACATTAAAATGTTCATGCAGTGAAAGTGTTTTATTGCTGAAAATAAGTAACCTTCCAAATGAAAATAGAGGAATGTAATGCAGTGCTCTCAAACACAGCGCCGGCAGCACTGCAACAGTTTAAACCGGACCTCACACTCCCATCTATCACCGTAGCTACGAATTAGTGAGACATCACAAATGAGTAATTTTGTTGCTTCCTTATGGAAAATATCGGAAGAAAATAAGGCATATGATTGATTCAGAGCTTTCTTTCCAAATTGTCATACATTAATTTTAGAAAATAAATTATCCTTCTAGCTCACTAAATTATATTTCAAAACCAAAACCATTTTTTAAAAATAATCGTTTAAAAGTAAGCAATATATCACCATCACAGCTGTCACAATTTCATCAGGACTTGTGCTGCCAAGTTGAACAATTATTCCTTAACTTTCCGAATAATAAGACACCCACATGTGGCCCTACTGTGCCACAGCAGAGATGTGTTATTTCAACTCGCAGCCTGTTAGTAAAGGCGCATACGTCTGCTGTTTGGTGGACCTGGTGCCTGGCACAGCGAGGGGGAAGTTTGTTTGGAGTAAATACGGAGAAATGTGGTGCCAATTACATGCTAGCGTGGCTGAAACATTACCCAAGGATACAGTAGGAAAGATGTAATCCCACAGATCTAACCACATAGATTGCTCCAGCAGAAATCATTATAGATCAATCATCAATAAAAAAGGACTGAGTGGGAAAAAAGGCTACAGATTCATTTCTGAAAAACTAAATATCTTCTTTAACTTTAGTGAGAAAAGCATGTGTGTGTGTGTGTGTGTGTGAGAGAGTGAGTGCGTGTTTATCTGGGACCTGAAAGCCTCTAACTTTCTGCCTCCAAGTGATTACATCGAAAAAGTTTAAAAACACCAGAACTGTCAAGTTTAATTAAAACACTAAAATTTAATTACAGCTGAGACTCTTGATTAACAATTGAGTCACTCAACAGAAAAAGTAGTGAGCTATTCATCTGGGAATCAGCAATTTACCATATTCCATTTAGAAGGTCAAACATAACAGCTGTAATTCTTGGGTTTTTAATTGCTGAGATTCTTGAATACGCCTGTAAACTTCATACATTTATGACACAAATATACAGTTTCAAAGCTGTTATCCAGGGTTTAAGGAGCGCATTCTGTCGTCACCACTCTCATTTCACAGAGGTGAGCATTTGCAGAATTAACAACATGAAAACCTCCTCCAGTCGACACATGCAACAATTGAATGGATGATAAAATGGTTTCTGACCTATGGAGCAGTCGGCTCCCGTCCACTTGGCCTCGCAGACGCAGGTTCCTGAATCGGTGTTGAACGTGCCGTGACTGGAGCATTGCTCTGGACAAGTGCTCTTCAGAATCTCGCAGCTGATCCCTCCCCATCCCGGGTTGCAGTGGCACTCGCCGTGATGACAGGCTCCGTGACCGGAACATGTCGGGTCCACACAGTCCACTGAAGACACACAACCAGGGTGACAGCTATGTCACTTTGCCACTTCTAGATTTAAACATATTTATTTACCCTGGCCACTCTGAATCTTCAACCAGCCAAAAGTCATTTTCAGAGAGGAAAAGCTCGAGAGCCGGATGATGGCGATCGAGCAGCAGCTGAAATTTTTGCAGGCTTTCGTTGCTGCCAATAGCAATTTTCCACCCGATGTTCAACTAGCTGCTCTACGATGTATTATAGGGTTGTTCCAACATAGAAACAGTATAATTATGCTCCATTATAGCATGAAACAATGCCCAATTAGTGTCTAGACTGATATGATCAATTACTATACTGATCTAGGGTAATAATTGCCAATTATGACCTACATAATCAACCTATTACTAACTAGAAAGAGGTGCCAAAAATATTCCATCCTCCTGCCATTTTTATGAGGCTGCAGCTAACGAATATTTTAGTAATCAATTATTCTATCAGTTATTCTGACAATTAATCGATTGCTCTAATTGAAAAAAGGCATATTATGTAAAATTTGCATTGAATCACCAGCTCTTTTTATACATTAGAAACGCATAAAATGCAAATAAAAAAAGTTATTAGATTCTTTTTTAAAATAATAAAATAAACCTATTTTTGTAGACTTTTTAGTGATTGTAGGAAATGATGCATGGGCAGCTAAATAAAATACTTCCAACATCAACATGTGAAAAGCTCAGTCCCTTCTGTTTGACTTTGCATCATCAGTAAAGTGTAGGGTGTCTTTTGATTATATTTTGACTAGTTAATTATTACCTGGTCAGAAAAATGTGCTTTATAGGATTTTTTTTCTGAATTTCAACCAGGTGAAGCAAAAACCCTGCCAATTAAAGAACTTTGGACAGAACATTACAAATATATTTTTTCTTTAATTGTAAATGTAAAATGCATATGTTTTTGTTCAGTTTTAGCTGAATTGCTGCTCTGACTGTGTTGTTCTTTCAGCAATTGACCTTTTTTGAGTCTGTATATCCAGTGAGCTAAAGATTATTTTAATAATAAATTCATCACCATCAATTGTTTTAGCCCTACTTTTTAATGCATTTTCATATTTGCAAGGAAACTTTAAAAAGTCAGGAAATCCTTTAAGAGCTACAGATGCAGCTCCTCTCCAATGCTTCTTCACGCCAAAGAAACCTCAACATATTCATTAGTGAACTCAATAGCTTTGCCATGTAGGGTCAACAACTCCCACATGTAAATCTGAGCTGATAATTGCCTTTTATCTGCATGCAGATCAATAAAGTTAAATGCAATGAAGTGAAAGGGTTGGAGCTGGGAGGGGCAGCTGACAAGAAAGAGGAAGCAGCTCTTTCTGAACAGAGGAGCAGATGCCACAAACTGATTGATTTTCACAGGTGTCATCATCTGTGGAGGCCTGTGGCAGGTGACTGCATCGACTGGCAAGGCGTAGTCTGCTCAAGCTTGTACCTCCGATGAGGTCTTAACACTTAAACAGAGTTAATTTATACACACAATATCAATAACAACATCCAAAGCATTATCCGCTTGGTGGAGTTGAAAACGCCGATTGTTTCACTCGCAGAATGAGTCGATTTCCCCAGAGCATCACAAACAAACGTGTTGCATCGGCCGGCTTTGAATCCAGCAGGAAGAGTTTTTCTTTCTGGCTTACCTTGATCACAGTTGACTCCTTTGTGGCCGGTGTTGCACACACAATTTCCCGCCACACAGAGTCCGTGTCCCCCACACTGCGGATCGATACACTGGGTTGCTGGAACGTCACACTCGGTGCCCTTCCAGCCGCTATAGCACTGACAGCGCCCCCTGGTGTACTGGCCATTACCGCTACACAGCACGGGGCAAGCAGCTGAGGAAAGAGATCATGTTCGAGAAGTCAAAATTATGCAAACATGCAAGTTTGCACCATGACTAGTTATGTTCTAGCTTGATTAAATAATGTCTACAGAGATTAAACTTTATGCAGCTGTAATATTCTTGTAGAGAAGCACCAGGAAGTTACTGGGAGGCCATATTTAGAACTAATCACACACATTTTCAAAAATATTGGTCGTGACAGGTAAGTGGCTCATCAGAAACTTATTATAATTATTAGTATTATATAACACAACCAAAAGGTCACATTAAAAACAACCATTTTCCATGTAAATGCTGTTACAAAAGCCCCTTCTCCACTGTCAAGTCTCACTCCAGCTGGCTAATGTCTGGTTTGGTTTGAGCCAAGTTGGGTGTGTCTCCATTGGTGTGTGTTCCTCAGTCCTGTGGCATGAGAATGGGCGGGAACACGAGACTGTGGGCCAGTGTGAGCACGCAGGAGCTGTGGTCAATGCTCTGATGTCTTTTGCAGCGATACTCAGCAGAACCTTGAGGTTGTGGTTGGATGAAATGTAATCGAGATATATACATCCCAACAGTGGCTTCAGTGACCGTGTGCAGCAACAGCACAGAGTGGCACGCAAGGTCCTTTGCAGTCAAAATGAACGAAACAAGAGGAAGGCATTTCAGAGCACATTATCTTGTGCACTAAAAATTTAATAAAGGTCTGAGGCCCATGCAATGTTCATTTATTTTTTATTTTGTCATATGACAATTATTATTAATGTTATTATTAGTTAAGAGTATAGCTGGTGTTACATGTCATCCTCTGTCTGGGTTTTATTATGCCTCACTCAAATAAATGCAGCTGTTTCAATTTGTCTGAAAAACTAACTGCCCAAAAGTATGAAGTTGTTAAGATTAAAGCTTAACCCAATCAACGAAGGAAGTTTACTGTCAATGAAACAGATTTTGAGCAACACTCAGGTGGGCCTGGGTAGTTATGAAAGATGGGCAGGAACTGCTGGTTCCGGTCAGGACTGACTGTGGTAGAACCGGTATAAGGCATGTTAACGGGATAAGTGACTCATTTAGCTATTTTCAGAATTGGCTAGATGTTTAAAATAATAATGGAGAAAGCACTGCACCAAAAGAAGCTGCTTAAGGGAAAACAAGAGAAGAGTTCAGTCAAGCTGTGAGAGAGCGAGAGAGAGCAAGACTTTTTACAGGAAGGCTGAACGACAAAGCTGCTGTGTTTTCTGCATTTAAAAATTCAACCTCAAAATTTTAAAGCTAAGGTAAAGATCTATATTCTCAAATACATTGTGTTTAGTCAACAGAATGGTCTGCATACAGGAGACCCGTTCTGAATTCAAGTCCAATTAGTACCCAGCCTGCGCAATGAAACCTAATATGATGCCTACATGCACATGGTATATTATAAGAATATTTTACTGAGTACAAGCATTCATCAAAATGGAAATAAAAAAGGAAATTTTACACATGTGCAAGTAGTGGAGTAATGCCTACTCTTATTTCTGCTTATCTTGTTAGCTTAGATATCCTCAAAAACAGAAAAAGGTCTAACAATTGTGTCCAATGGAAAGTTTTGTAATATGTGGACTGTAAATATTTAACATATTTCTCTCAGCCTGTGTGACGGACTGGCTACCTGTGCAGGTTGAACGTCGTTCTCAGGGATCTAGAGTTTTTGATTTTCACATGTTTACCTTCATGAAGGAAGAGAAGCTAATTCAAGCAAACACAATTTATCAGTTAAACTCAAGAGATGGAAATTGATTTAGCTAATTTTTCTTCAGTTTGAGAAAGCACACAGGGCCAGATTCAGTTTACCTCGGACTTTTTAAGGTGGAAATAAAAAAAAAGGTGGGTGGAATAAAATCAAACTGAACTGTGGCCTGGGTTAGACAGACAAAATATACTTGTTGAGATTAAGGTGAAATAGGTCCATGTTAAACTTATCAGATCAATTTTCCATTAAAAGAATATTGAACTGATAAGCCCTAAAAAGACTGAAGGGACCATTTAAGGCAATTATTAAAGCTGAGTAATTACCTCTGGAGCAGTAAGGTCCTATGAATCCAGGGAAGCAGTGGCACGATCCCGACACACACTCGCCGTTCCCATAGCAGTTGTGTGTGCACTCTGTCACAGACTCTGTGGGTGCAGAGGTGTGCAGCTATTAATACCTCTATGAACTGTCATGTTGCAAAAAACCTTTAACAACTGCATAGTGAAAGAAAACGGCATGGAAACCAAGCTGACTTCTTCAAAGAATTACATGTCTCTTATGTGCTGTGCTCTGATCCAGCATGGCATACATTTACAGCTGTTTGTCTATGTCCCACTAAGGTCTAAGCCTCCATAGCTGTGCACTGCATGCTTACTGTTCGCAACTAAGCCCTGTTAAGTAAAATCCACAAAGATGCATTTTAAAGTAGACCACATAATTCCATGTCCTTGAGATATTTCCTTCCCCTGCTGTCTCCTCTTCTGCATCACCAACACCCCGGCCCCGTGAATGACTGATCATGCCCACACAAGCCATGCAATCTCCTGAGTGTTTACAGCTCAAATCCTCTCTGAGTTGAAGTTAATCTGACATATCCTACAGACAGATCTTGTGTTCTTTCAACAGACCAACGCTCATAAATCGTAGCCCCAAAAGACCAGGGCCCTCATTTTGATGGGCGTTAAGAGGGCCAACTTTTATGTTATTACTTTAGCTTGTATTGGATGTTCATTGAGCCAGTGTCGGACTCAAGCAATTTTGACCTCACACATCGATACCTTCATATTTGTAGGGCTGGATCAATGGGAGTCCCCAAAGGAAAGAAAAAGAAAAACGTTAACTCAACCCTAGTGTTTTTCCTTCTCCATAACCCACAAGGAAATTTCACACACTTCAGAACACGGAAGAGGTTGTTAGGAGGTTAGGATCAATGCTCTGTAAAGTCTTGCATTATAGTGCTAAGCACAATAATCCACTGCAGTGGAATGAAGACCAAAATCTACGCTGTGCGCTGCTCAAACTTTGTGGAAACTCAATTTGTCTGGGAAAGATTCTCAGATGCTCACATTCAGGCCCAGCTGTTCCAGGAAATTAAAACCTTCCAAACATGTCATTACACATCATTCACACTCATTAGGCCTCCCAGCAGACGTGTGTCCTCTCACCCTGGATAATAGTGTTGTAGGAGACAACTTCCACGCTCCGTCCGTCATTATAAAATGCAAAGTGCCACACCCCTGAGTCCAGGTACTGGATGAATCCGGCTTGGTGGACGGTGACCGGGTGATCGATCCGGGCCCTTGTGTCTGGTTCGCTCAGGGTCCACTGCTCTTTGGCAATGAGCCGGCTGCCATCCAGGAGCTCCACAAAGTCATACTGTACAAAATACAGAGAGCTTTTGTCAGCACATAAAAGTGTTTGCTATTCAGTCTAAAAAGTAAGAATGTTTTTTCTGTAGGATACTTTGTATGCAACCAGTAGATTTCCCTCTGATGGTATATATGCAAAGTTTTGATGCAAGAAACAGCCAGAAGTGAATTGTGTATACATAGCAAATATTCACGTATAATAATTGTTGATTTTCCTGTGGCAGGTATTTGGAGTTGATAGATATTGTCTGGAGAGGTGTTTGTGTACTGATGGAACTGATACGGCTCTGAGGCAAATGCAAAAGCTATGTTTTGAAGTCTGATGGGAATTTAAAATGCATTATGTGTTTATTAGAGTCTGTTAAATTAACCTTGACAATGTGGTGTGAAAATGCTTGTCTAAAAGTCGGATTGGTTTAACGCTGCTTCATCTGCAGGAAATGAAGAAAATATGTATCTGTTTAGTTTTTCCAGCTTAAGTTTAGCATGAATGTCACATTTTAATGTCTCTAATGTTTGATATGTTTAAATTATCTTGTAATTACATGTATTTACATATATTTCTGATAAAAATGCATGTATCAAATGTAACCAATTTTGTGTATTTTTCCTTTTTCTTATTGCATGAGAGTATTTCTTTTTTTCTTCTCAAAATAAAAAAAACAACATTGATTTACTGTGCAAACAAGGTGCAACGAGTTAGTCCTGCCAATGAGTAAAGAGGTGCATCTGCTCTCATTGCACCTGCTCAGCAGCACCTGAACCACATTTTGACTGGAGCCATAACATGTAGCAAAAAACAGCACAGTGCATACAGTACAAACAATCCCCAAACAGACTGCAGGCTGCAAAGTAGCACAGCAGATGAAGACAGCAGATCCCCAGGCTAAAGCAGTTGTTAGCTACACAGATGTACTGTGTCTACACTGAAGTCTGTGGCTGGAAAAAGAGTCTGTGGGCTGCTAAGGAGTGTGATGCATACAGATTGGCTCTGTAGCAGCGTTTTGAAAAGAGCAGCAATTCAAACCCAGAGATGAGGCAGGTTGCTGCGAGTTAAAAACCACTGTTCTTTTTCAGTTTTCATATGTAGATTCCTGAAAGATTTCTAACAATTTTCACATTATGTTACAATGTAAGAAGGAAAATGTGTTTATGGAACAGCTTTAACATTTTTACACAACTGTTGAGATTCTGCAGATATATAACAGTCTGTTTATTCATGCATGATGGCTGCCGCCATAGATCAAAGTCAACAAGGTTATTTTGACACAAGCACAGCCTGACATGAATATTAGAAAGATTCCCATCATACAAACAGACATTTGGAAATTCAAACAATTTCAAGACGATCTTGACTGATTGGAAGGAGAGATAAGGGTTGTTTGAGAGATTAATAATGTACATTTCTTATTCTTTTTACCATTTATTTTATGTAGTTATTTTATCTCATTGGCCTGTTTTTGTGTTCCCCTTCTCTATTTTTTGTATTCATTTTATATTTTACCAAAAAAACCATTTAGAAAAATAGTTCAGACACCTTTAATGAGGCGAGCTGGATGCAATCCGTCCAAGCTGATTATGTGGAAGCAGCTCAGCGTTGCTGTTTCTGCAGCATGAGAAGGATTTTTTTCTCTCTTCCACCAGCCTCAGCTGTACTTCTCTGACTTTGGAAAGAACCTCTACCAACCATGTGACTACAAAGCCAAACATTCCCCACTGCATGCACACTATTCATGCTACCGCGGTGCTCAGAGTGCAAACATTACATGTATCTTCAGCAGGCGCTCTCTAGTACCAGTTTTTGTGAGGCTGAAAGTAAAACAAAAAAAAATTGCAAAAAACATTCTAAGTTCTTTAAAACAGCTATTTTACTTTGCTGTTTTGTTCATTTTTCAGTTGAATTCAGTTTGACTTCTGTGTTGAAGTTTTAGTCATTGACTTAAGAACTCTTCAAGTAGTTAGAAGATACATGTATGCTTTTATTTTGAAGTGATTGAAGACTGTTTCCTCTGTCACATTCTAACAACAGAACTAACAACCATGCAGTTTTCTAAAATGGTTGAAAGAAGCATAACAAATACATCAAACTCAAAGTTTCAGCAACATAAATATGCATAAAGCAAGAAAGACATCAAGTCAATGTCCTGGTTCAAACTCCTGGGAGAGAAGTTGAGTGGGTTGGGAAGAGATATTAACCTGGCAGAAGTTGTCTTCTTGTGTTGTTGACTTGAGAGGGAAGTAATAAAACAGTTCATCCCACAAGCATTGCATCCCCTGGCCAAGCGCATACATCTTGATTACCTGTTGTGAAAGCCCCCTAACTCATCTCAACCTAACAATACAGGTGAATAGCAGTCATGAGACCAAGCATGAAGAGGTTCCCAGATGTCTCATGGCTAGAGGGGAAAAGTCTGTGCATTCCCAAGTCTTTGAATGCACAGACTGACCAAATGCAAACCTCAAAGGAAAAAAAACTAAAGTTACTTTCTTCAAACTTGTCTGATTTGTATCATCACAGACAGACACTCAATAGTTGATGGAGGAAGTCTATATTTGACAAAGGTGGAAAGGTTGTTGCACTTAAATGCTGTCTTGTCTTCCAAGCAGTGAATGCGACGAACAGTCAATATCTCTCATTGGGGTCTTTCATGCTCAGTTAAGTAAATGCATTGATTTGTTCCTCCAGTACCTGAGCAGAATGTAGTTTAGAGGCAGACACAATGGACACAATGTTGCACATTGACAAGGATGAGTGTCGGAATAGAAGTGGCTTAAAACATGAACGTAGTGTCTTGCTAATAAGGACGCTTCGGACTTTGATTTTGTTCTGTTACCTTTTTCCATTCGTCCTTTCTTTCTTTTTTCACCTTGGAAGTGCAGACTAACTCACTTATTGTTACTTATATTGAACTTTTTTTCCATCAAAATGTGGCCTTAACACTCCACTCTTAAGTAAAGCCCACCTATACTAAGAGCGAATGACTAGAAGGTGAAGCTGAGAGCTTTTTCTGTTAAGTGTGGAGGGAAATAGCTATTGTCTGAGAGCCTTCATCAGCATCAGCACACACCTGACACTTAGATGCACAGAAATGTCATTCAAGAGTTTGTCGTCAGACATTCTGGAATCACTTCAGTTTCACATTAGCATGTATTATGGGAAAGGAAACACAGATAAAAACAAAACTAAGTTTTTATTTACAAATGAGCAGATGTTCAAAATATACAACACAGTAAAATAATTAATAAGGACAAATAAATTACCATAAATAATTAGGATTTGTTGACAAAGTTTATATTGTGCTAAAAGTAAGAAAAATTTCTATGTTAAAACAGGTGCTTATTATTTCATTATAATTTATTCAATTGTTTGGTGAAAGTTGATTTTAGATTTCCATTTTTGACAAAGATTTGATGAAGCTTTAGGATATCAAAAATATAATCAAAAACTATAAATAATTAGCTGGTGACAGATTAGAATGATGACATGGAATAGAAAAAGACATTTTATATAAGGTTTGGCCATTTAGAAGTATTTACAAGTTTGCAAAAGAAAATATTTTTTTGAAAATATTGTTTTGATGCAAATATTTTTGTTTAACCTCTAGAATAAACAATGGCAAACAAGAGACTAATTTTTCTCAAACTTATTTTTAGATGCTTACATCGTCAGGCTCCTCAGTATTTTATGGTTCTTTCCATTTTTGTTAAAATTGTTAGGTGGCTTTTATTTAAAATCTGCAATACTATACAAGCAATACTTTTTGTGTGAAGGGTCAACATGTGGAAATCTGTCCTGCAGAACTAAAACTGAATCCTATAATCATTTTAGATTAAAACTGAAACAGTTTCATAACCAAAATCAACTCTGTAGTCATGAAGATTTGCTGTCATTCTTCACTTAATTCAATGATATTGTGTTTGGTAATGATTTACTTTATTTCCTATCATTGAAACTAAATATCTATGCATTATGCTTTAAAGCAGATGTCACACTGTTCTCTATTTTTCATGTGTGCTGTATATTGACAAATTTGCTCCACAGGTCTAAGGTTATGGAAACAAAGACAATTATGTGAAACACCAACTTCTGTCATGTTTTTGAAGTATTTCTGCTCTAAATTGTGCCGTATGCTGGGATCAAGGCTGTGAAATTCCCAGTGTCATGCAGAATATCGACAACTAAACTTAACTTTACAATGATCTCACCAACATTTTTTCTGTATTCAAACATCAAGTCATCATTTGAAATAAAATGTAAATATTATGCATGTTACTAAATGGTCACATATTAAATAGGAGAGTCCGTAGTAAAATAGGTCAGATGTTATCTTGAAATTTGGTTTCAAACATTGTTTAGTGTTAAGTGCAGTGGTTGACAATGTTGGAGTGTTATTGATCCTTCCTTTGCAAGACAGACATTAAATAGTTTCATAGTGGTATTAATTTTTTTTACAATTTGCATTTTAAACAATTGGTCAAGAAGTACTTATTCTTCAAATTAAGAAGTGTGGTAATCCTAAGTACATGTCTCCACGTATATAAACAAATGAAATAAAGTAGAACCCATCAACAGTAGAATTCCCAATCTGCACCTGTTCAATAAAAAAAAGAAAAGTTTTCAGGGTTTCTTCACCTGAGTGTGCGACGGTACGAGACCCTTTCGCCCATAAACTCCAATCAGTGCGCTCTTCTGCACAGAGATGTTGAATTTAAGGAAGTGTGGCTGCCCCATGCTGAGCTGAGAGCGCCAGAACACCCCTGGTGGGACGCTCTGAGCCACCCGCTTTCCGATGTCCACCTGTCCGGTATCGATGGAGCTGTTTTCAGGTTGAAGAATCCCAGGCTTTCCTACAGAAACATTAGGAAAAGACATGGTTCATTCAGTCACATAAACCACACAACTTACAGTTTTTATAATTTTTTTCTTTGCTGTTGCTTTCCACTGTTTCTCAATTAAGACAAAACATGACATCACATCACACATTCCTGTGTGATGTGCTGTAACCAAGCATGACAGGATTGAAAGTCCTGTTTCCAAGCCCTGTTAAGCAAAATAAATAAAAGGAATCACATATATTTGTCTTTTTATAACACGTTAACAGGGCAGATCTCCCATTTTGCTTTTGGTCTTTGTGGTTCATGGAGTGAGGTTTCATATCAGATAAGGTGTAAATGGAATCTGTCAGAAGCACTTAGAGCTTTCTTGCCAGAGCAGGAGCTGCAAATCAAAACAATTTGCTGAATATGTCCTCCAACCGTTTCCTTATAGTGCCAAGATTCAGTCAGAGGTTATAGAGCATAGTATGTACTTACAAGGAAAATTGAGGTGGTCAACATTTTATCACCTGAACAAATTTTCCTATTAAAAAGTAAAATGCATGAAGCTATTGCCATAAAAAAGCTGTGGCTGGTGTAGGCATGCTTATAGAAGATACAGAGCGAGCTTGGCTTTGGCCTTTCTCTTCAGAGGCATTGTGGTGTGCCGACACATGTACTGTAGCTGTGACTATATCTGTTTGTGCCAGACCTCCTTTATTTGCATGCCTCAGTGTTGGGTGTGTAATGAGGCCATTGCCTGTCACTTCCGCTTCAGTCAAAGTGAGGCTTGGAAGCCAAGTTTACCTCTGGGGAGAATAATAGCTGGCTATTGATTGCCTTTAAACAGTCCAAAACCTGCCTCATGCTATCTTAATTAGCAGTACTTATGAGGATTTAAATCTAGCCCAGTTTAAACAATTGAGCTTTTGCCTGGCCTATTCAACTCAATTAATGCTTCCGTGGCTGTGCATTTTAAGTAGCCACACTGTGCTCGGAGATTCATTTGGTTGTTTTTTGCAGTAAAGGTGAGCTGAGATGGCCTGCTTGCTTGTTGATGAATACACAATAACCCACGATTATGATTAGGGACTACAGAGCTGTCTGAAGTGACTCAATTGGTGAAAGATCTCTATAAATTTCCATGGTTCAGTTTGCAGAGGACAGTGGAGGTATTTATTTATTCCTGTTTTTTTACTATAGCATTCTGTCCTTAACTGTCATTTAAATTTTGCTTGATTAAATGACTCTAGTGCTTTCAAAACCCATTAAGGTAGGTTTTTGTTTATATTCATTTTAGATGCAAATTTACCTTTTTTTTTTATCAGCACTGTTATTGTAATAAACACCTTATAAGTTTATAATTGAATTTTGAGGTCTATTTAGTTTTTCACAAACTTATTTTGTTTTGCTCTTCGTTAAAGATATAAATCTTTAACAGAGTAAATATAGTTTGTAAGCTTGAGGTTACATTTAAAGTATTATAGAGTATGCGAAAAAGCATACTAAAAATCCTTCTCTCAATCATGACTGTATGAATGTTTATTTTCATTTAAAGTTAAATGCAGCCGCAGCACATAAAAATTGACCCTCTGTTTAAGATGTGCAAAACATTTCTAGCCGGATGTTTATATTCAGTCATCAACTGTGAAATGTCTCAACATCTTTTCAAGTGTGGAAAAACTATAAATTCAAAGCATTTATTGTTGATTTTCTCTAATCTACTTAAAAAGCTTAAATATATTAATATGCTGATATATAATAATGCTTAAAAGACCTGCCTTTTGAAAAATATTCAATAAAAAGTAGGCCATCCATTCAGAAGGCTTTATGTTTTCAGAATAGCCAGGTATAAACCATCTGATGCAGACCGTCCTCCTCAGATGAAAGAAAGTTAGTTAGGATGATCAGAGTCTGCTGGCGCTCATGTCTGCCATGAACTGGAAACTGCTGGATCACCTGTGGCCACAGTGAAGCAAATTTCACACGCTCCAATATTAACACCTTTAGGCTTGACTGAAATTTGCAGCTGCCCCTCAGGCACATGCCAAATGCTCTGTGAGAAAAACAATTATATTCAGTATAGAAGATTATTCGTTTTTATGGCCATAGTAACAATGTTTGGAGGAGTCAAGATGAGGCTTTAAAGTTTCAGAACAATGGACCAGCACGGTGGTGGCACCATCATGGTTTTGGGCTGAATTGCTGCCACTGATGCTGCATTAGCCAAGGATAATGGAATCATGAAAATTGTGGATACCTCCAAATTCTGAAACAGTTGATGCTTCGTCACACCTGAATGTTGTAATGGGCAATAATTCAAAAACACACCAGAACTGTTTCTGGAAGGAAAGAATGAACTCAAGTATAAAGAAAACAGATGGACTTGCTTTTTGTGCTTAAAAACAAAACCATAATTTAGATAAATTCTACTAGATTAAAGAATTAAGACAGAAAAACCCAGCAGAATTACGTCACACCCTAGTGGATGGCTAAAAGCAGCTTCTTGCTCATAAAAATAATATTAGTGAGTTTGTTTAATGTAAATTAGAGTTTATTTGCATTGTTTTGGACCATGAATGGATTACAACTTTCACAATAAATTTAAATAAATTAGTTGTGTAAAATCTGCTCTCAAACTCTCTACTTGATTGTATCAGGATGTTAACAAATAATTTTTTAACACATCTTCAGCTGATACAGAATTTAAATTCAGTTGAATAATTTCATTAAATTTCTATTTAAATTTCATTGAATAAGTGAATGTCAACACACACACATACACACACCTGCACACACACGCACACCCACGCACACACCCACGCACACACACGCACGCACACACACCTACACACACGCATGCACGCACACACACACACACACACACGCACACACCTACACATACGCATGCACGCACACACACGCACACACACACACCCACACACACACCCACACACCCACGCACGCACAAACCTACACACACGCATGCACGCACACATGCACACACACGCACACACACACGCACACGCACACACACACACCCACGCACGCACACACCTACACACACGCACACATGCGCATGCACACACACACGCCCACGCACGCACGCACGCACGCACGCACGCCTATTCTGTTACATGTGTCAAAATCTGAATAAGTTTGGTTCACCATTATACCTAATATAACAAGAGGATTATGATTTTATTAATTCCAGTTATCTTTTTGCTTTGACAGGATTATGTCAGGATTATGACATCTTAGCCTAAAAAGGGTTTTCAAAGATGGGATTCAAACCAAGTTCTGGTATTTTGGACAAATAATTTATTTTTAAAATGCACTTCAATCTCTAAAGAAGAGAGGAACATTTTGAAATTATAAAGCAAAATAAAAATGTCTGAGTTGAATTGCAGTTATTTTATGTTTCTAAGTCAAAGCCTGGAAAATAATAGTTTTCAGAAATCTTTAGATTTCAGGAGATTATTTCTCTAGTAATCTAGAAAAATAAGAATTTTACTAGATCCTAAAATATTCACATTTTTACTTTTTATTAGTAAAAAATAAAAAGTGTATAAATAATTAATTAAGTTTATATTAATGGGAAATCACAACAAAGTAAGAATTTTTATTTTTTTAAGTGTAAGACTTTTTTAAGTGTAAGAGCAATCCAAAAAGTAGCTTTAACGCCACCTATTATGAGAACAAGCCTGTTCCAGGTTTTGATCCAGATCTATTGCTGCAAGTCCACAATTATTATCAATCCAAGCGGACGCTGGAAAAACCATATAACACTGATGTTTATAGACATCTAATTTAGTTTTCATGCTCATACTGTGCAGTGCTGCAGGAAAATGAAAGCAAAGTGCACACGAGCGACCACAAGCTGGTATCAAATGGCCCGCGCGTTGCTGTGCTCTGCCAACTAGAGGTCTCAAAAGATGACAGCAAATTCGTCCTGCCAAAAATGTCCAAAGAAATGCAGCTAACGTGTGCGAAAGGCATCAATAAATGTTATTAAATGAGCAGTAAATCACAACTATATTTACTCTTTTTTATCTCTGTAACCACAAACTGTCACTTTGAAAACAAAAAAATTCTTGTATCTTTTATTTATAAATTTTGTTTTTGTTTCGTCTGTCTGTGCAATCATCTGAAGTTATAATCAAAGGGTCCCACAAAGCTGTAAACATTTTTACATTCTTGATATGATGAAAAACTTAAGAATCTATCTGCTGTGTAAATTTCTGAAAGGACCCATTTGAAGTAATATAATGTCTTAAACATTTTTGCAAATGGTCCACAGCTTTGAAAAGCAGCACAAGTAGTGGCATGTAGAAGCAGGTCAGAGACAGTTTTCCTGCTGCTGCTGCTTGTTTCTGCTGACTTACAGCAGATTGGAAGCAGGAAAGGCTGATTCTGTACGGGAGGCAATTATTGCTGCTATTGTGCAAAAAGCCAAACATCAGTTGTTGTCATCCCCAACATTGATGTCCTTGTATTGGCACCATTAGGAAGCATATTTCAAAATGTATGCATAAGTTGCATAAGATACAAACAAAAGTTTAAGTTTTTGAAGACAGATTGTGTTCAAATATTTCAAGCATTACATCTGCAGGTTTGTTTGAAACTCTTAGAAATTTGTAGCAAAGTTGCATAATAATGTAAATAATGCATTTGATTATTGATACTAAACATATTTGTCATTTGTGTAAGAAACTACAATAATCTACAGCTGTACTGTTAGCATTATGTAGCAATGTGTCATTTCCAGCACATTGCAAAAGCATCTACACCACATAATTTCAAGCCACAAACAATTGTGCATTTTTATGGTCTAAATCATCACAAAATAATTCATATTTGTAGAGAAAAATAATACATATTTTAATTTTTTTTTCCAAAATGGAAAAGAGGACATATCAACAGAAGACTACCAAGACATGGAAGTTGAAGTAAACTGACAGGAGACGTAGCCAAGAGGCCCATTGTACTCTGGAGGAACAAGGAAGCTGGTTAGATCTGATGGAAATATAGCTGCAGCTAAAAACAAATACACTTCAATGCTAAAGAAAATATCAGTAGGTGGCTGAAAATGACCCGAGACTGGGGCAGAAGTTCACTTTCCAGCAGGACAGCAACCCATTCGCACACAGCAAGAGACACACTTGAATGATTTATGATTAAAGCATATTTGTATTCTGAAATGGCCCAGTCAAAGTCAAAGTCCAAACTGAACTCCAACTAAGAATCTGTGACAAAACTTAAAAATGTATTTTTGCAGCTGAAGTTCAGTCATAGTGGAGGAAAAGTGTCTGCAGACAAGTGTGTGAAGCTGCTAGTTGGACCCTCAAAAAGCTGTAACTACAGTAAAAATCTGCTTAACAAAGTATTGGCTACAGAGACGATAACACATATGCATGTCGCACTTCACAGTAATCCATTACTTATTATAGTTTGAGGTTACAAAGTGGAAAAAAAAGTATGACTTACTTTGCAGGGCACAATTTATTTGATGGTGGAGTTTTTAAGCTACAAAAATGAATGTCTTTTTATTTTAAGAAATGAGAGTAAGGCCCCATTTTTCTTGTTAAGACAGAACATTTTATCTTAACATTGTACTTGGTAAGAATGACAAATTGTTAAAAGTTTCCCTGTTATGCTCTGTAATTGCACATTCTAGCTGTGCTTTCCGAGGCACCACCCTCAAAAACAGGCTTCAAAAAAGCTGGAAGCAGTTCAGCTCAGTTCAGAGTAGTAAATATTTAAAGTGTGTTTGGGTCTGATTCAGGTTTTTAACTGCTGAAAATATCCACACAGCTGTTTTTCAAACATGCTTGAGTGTGGAGGGTGAACACCTTCTGCACCTTCCACCAGCGTTCGAACTGTCTGCACATTTAAAAACCAGGGGGATTCAATGTGAAACAGCTTAAAAGTAGCTCGCAAAACAGCAACAAATTGATTCTGTTAGCAAGGTTGGAAGTAAGGAGAGCAGTTTTTGCAAAGTACAATGACAACTAAACCCTGAACTACTCTCAGTTTTAATCAGATCTTTTGTTCTGCAACTACCAGCTTGTCAGCTAATGATGTTTTTAAGGAAGTACAGAGATAAAAAAAAAAATGGCGTGGTAATTTATTAACAGCATTTATTATTTTATTAATAATCAAATAATTATTTTTTAATTTTCATTCAAATAAGAAGAGTTTGAACTAATTCTAGACTACAGCTAACAGATGTACAGCGACAGAATTTTGTATTTCTCGGTTATTAAGTGGCGAGTTTTATCCCACACAACTGATACTCACATATTTACTGCAGGAGTCTTTCTTAGATCTGAAATACTTTGTTAAAGTCAGGACAGAGAAGTGAGCCGCATGAAAAGGATCTTTCCAACAGAATTAACATATTCATGAAGTTTAAATGTGGGGGGTCAGAATTACTTTCAAATGATTCTTGAAATCATTTGAAAGAGTAAAACACCAACATGGACGTCAAGGTGTAAAAATGTAAAATTGTGCCTGATTTATAATTTAATAACAATCGGCCCAATAGCATGCTGATAGAAAATAATTGTTTTTGCAAACATAAATTTGAAGATTTTATATGCTTAGAATAACTTTAACTAGCAGTTGGACTGAGAAGACACCCTTGAGGGACGCCACATGAAAGGGGAATTGAGGATGATGAAAAACAACTCAGCTTGCCTGTTAAGTACAATATAAATAATTCAAGAGGAATTCCTTTAATGAAAGCACAATGCTTGAGTTGAAAGGACAAGATGTCATAATCCAAAGTGCTGATAAAGGTCTAAAAAGAGTGCTATGAATATTTTATTAATGATCACAATCATTAAAACCTTTCAGAAGTATTAATATACCGAGCTTTTGAAGCAGGATGGAACATGTTAGTGGCACCATGTTAGTTTTTCCTGCTTCCTGTTTCAAATGAGTCAAAAGAGTCCCAGTCATAAGACGGTTTTCGAAGATAAAAGAATAATGTCAAGACATCATCTGAGACCCATTTCATAGGGACATGAGGTCGTAATGTCCACTGGGACCAATATAGATAGCTCAGACAATTTCTAATCACTTCAGCTAGCACAAAAAAAAAAAATGCTTCAAGTGATGGAAAATGTCAGAGAAAATGAGGGAAGAAGGGGGCCATAGATAGAGGAGCCTTTGAGAGCTGACACTAACAATCTTTGGCACAAAATCCTTCATAGTTTTCATTTACGTCTCCATCCAAGTGTGTCTGACAACAAGTCAAAGTTTGCTTTCGCTTGACACCACTGGGAGTTTAGAATGACATGAAAGAAACAACCCTGCAATAAAAACAATTTAGTACATTTAAAAAGCAAATTCACAAATGTTTCTGTATCCAAATATGGCATGAGAAAAGAAAATTATTTGGAACAGCAGGATTAATTGTACAGGAGATGTCAGTGTCTTTTTTTCTCACCATCAGCAGCCAGAGCTGTTACTACGCTCGACTGGGTGGGCCCTGCCTTCCCAAGTCCCCCGTTTTCAAAGGCTGGCTGGTTTTCCAACTCCTGAAGCTGCCAGTTGAGACCAAAAAGGTGCATTGCTGCGAAAAACACAGGCATAAAAGATAAACAAATCACTGTGTGGGCTTGCAGGAAACAATAAGCAAAAAGCAAATAGTTTCAAACCACCAATCAAGCCACTTATGGACAAAAGACCTGTGGGAGTGCGCAGTGCAGGTGGAAAAAAGCAGCTGTTTAACGCCAAACATTCGCCTCTACATTCTGTTGTCTGTGGCCAGTCGGCCAATCGGTGGCTTTTGTGTAAACCTTACAGCGACACAGGCCAGACAAAGTCATTTCAATCGATATTGTGGCATGTTTCCTCAGGGAGTGCTGTTCATTAAGTTTCCAAAGTGTCAGCTACTGCATCAAAGAGAGCAGCAGACGGAGTTTCTATTTTGACACAAAGCTTCCACTTCAGACAAACACAAGATCCACTGGAAAAGTCTTAAACTCCCGGAGTCTAATATGTAAGAGTTGCTGCTAGTTGTGTGTGAAAGATTGAGACAGACTGGGGGGTTTGGAGGCTGGGGAGGGACATGAAGTGAAAGACTTTTAAGAAAGTGGAAGGCAGAGTATTGAGAGAGATGCTCACAGCAGGAGATGGAAGTGAGAAGGTTAGACTCTGCAACACTCCTCTCGTTGTCTTACATAACTAAAACGTGTCTGGCTTTCATTCAGACAACCTGCTTTATTGTCACAGAATTGGATGCAATCAAACTGTGCTCTTGTTGTTTTGGGAAAGTGAGGCGTTTCTGCGAGCGCAGCGAGAGGGCTTATCTCCTTCAAAGTCACCAGCCAAGGGAACATGCTGAGGAAGCATCTTGATTTCCGACCATTTGATCTGCGGGAGGAACTTTTCTCCAACACCCGTCGCACGCTGGGAAGATAGATATCGACTGCAGCAAATAACACGAGAGGTGGAAGCAGGGCCAGAGAGAATATCAAATGTGAAGGAGACCAAAAGAGAGATGGAAAACTGCTACGAACAGCGTGTCGATAGACACTTTGTCAAGAAACGGGGTGCGGGTGTGCTTTGTAAAAAGCCTCCTGATGGAAATACATGGCATCAGTGGAATGGGGAAGCACAGAAGACGTGTCCTTGGCAGATCAAGTGAACAGGTGTGGCGTAGCCTCGAATTTCAGTCAGATTTGACATCAGACTGATGATATTTATCTAGCATATTCAGTCCAAACCATAGTCGGCCCCCAATCTATTTCAGTAGCCAAAAGTGAACCGCACAGAGGAAACGATTTCTGATTGTTTCATCAATACTTTTAACAAGAACAATGCTTCTGAGACAGGAGTGCCTCATATAACAGAGATTTGAACACATCGACTAAAGTGGGAGAAGGCTTAAACTGTGTTCACATCTCAATGTTTTTCTGACTTTGAGTGTTTCATCTTGATCTTAGTCAGAGAACTGAAACTTGCAAAATAATGCAGGAAACATTTAGAGTATGCACTGGAAACTTGGGAAGAACTGCGGTCAGCCTTGTGAATAAAAGAGGAGACAGGAAGCATTGATACATTTTGGTAATTCCTAAGTTCAAAAGCCTTCGATAAATTTCAGTTAGACACAGATTATTCTGGTGACTTTATCTAATGTTCTAATCAGGTGACTGGAACTGGAATATTCCCAACTGACTGCAGGTTCAAGTTGTCATAAATGAACAAAACAACAAATGGAAGATTTTCTGCCATGACTTTTTTCTTGCTCTTCTCATCCTATATAAATGTATCGACACAAAATCAACAGTGGAGTTTTCAATTCTGATGCGTAAAGGTTCGTCAGCTTTCTTGAGGTTACAAGATTTCTTGTAACTTTCCTTCAATGAAATTGTTCCACAAATTACCAATTTATTGAGCTATCCTTTTTTGGCAGCGTTCATTTAAATACATCCAAAACAAACAGCACTTGTGGAAGAAATGGCTCGTGATCATTCATTAGAGATAAATCTTACAATTACTAAAATCTAATGTCACTCTATTTTTTGTTTACACTTTGTGAAGAAGGAAGGTGCACTCAGTGTCCTTTTCAGAGGTTTTTGTGTTGTTTTCTTCAGTGGTTCTTGATGCAGTGCCCCCGCAGGCGAGGAGGGGAACATGTTTCTCAGAGGGTTTGATTAGTTTGACAGTGCAGTGTGAAAACGAAGCCAGAGGATCGATCTTTAATCGATCTATGTCTACTTGACTATTTGGTGAAAACAACATTGTTAGCTTAAAAGGGGCTAGTGTCAAATGCATGCTACATGTTTTAGATTTTATTTGTAAAAAATGTTAGAATCAATGGGTCATTTTTCATCATTCTGTGTTGGTCTGCCATGTAAAATCTATTGAAGAAAGTTGGCTGCAGTGGATTTTATTTAGGAGTATCAGATCAAAGGGGGCTGAGCAGTTAACAGCACATAACTATTTATTTGTACAGAGACTCATTCCCTTTGTGATTATGCACACATTTCTTAGTCTATCAAACAGAATCCCAGTAATACACACTGATGTCTGAGATTGTAGCCCCACAAAATCTGAAAATACTTTGGAGCAGCGTACACAGACAGGGATTACAGGCAAAAGATTACAGTTGTGAAGAATATGAGAAACTATGAATGAAAACACTCCCCGACATTTCATGTCTTCATTTTAATAAACACTCTTGAACAAATATAAATGTTGGAATTGTTGTCTTGGTTCAAAGTTATTCTGAAGAAAGCTTTTGAAAATACCCAACATTTTAATTTAAATGAAATACATCAACACAGGCAAGACGTGACGTCCCACTGAAAGCAGTAAAATGTAACCGAATGTCTTCAAGCCTGAATTACACAGTAATTCTTTCCTATATTTTGCCGCCTTACTGAGACCTCCTCAAGTTTTCCTCTCCTGGAAATCTTTCGTTACATTTAATCCATCAGCTCTCAAAAACCTGCACAGATGGGACCTGCAGCTCCAGATAAATGCCACCCATTGGACAGAGCATCCAGTTCTTGGATCAACATGTTCATGGCTCTCACTGAGGTAGAACAGCCTCTTAATCAGATCTGAAAGCATCAGCTGTGGAGATGAAGCTTGAGTGTAAGGTAGAACTTCAGTCTAAAAAAAAAAGACTGCACCAACTCTGGAAAAAAAAACAAAAAACGACTGATACTGGTACATCACTTGAAGAAAAAAAGAGTAGCATTTTCCTTTCTTTGAAAATGCCTTGAAGTGACACAAGAAATGCATTTAAGAGGCAAAAACAAAATCAGCTTTGTTAAGGGAAATGCTGCAGGACAATTACTGCACTCACACAAGGAGCTACAGCCTTACATGAGAAACATTTCCACCAATCATTTTCACATTTAATGCACTGCTTTAACCTTTAAGTTGCCTAAAAACTTTTTTTTCTTTCGGCTATAACACCTGTACCAAACTGCTGTCCCTGAGGTGGTGAGGCTGCCATGTTTAAAATGAACATGACAACATTTAACCTAAAGAAACGTAAGAATGAACAAATGAGGCTGGATACAAGTTTCTCTGTCTGAAAGGACATTTCCTGCGCTGCGTTTTTACTCTGGACCCCAAATCAATTCAACGTAATAAGGAAAGTGGTTCTGTTCTCTGCACATCTGTCTCATTGTGTCAAAAAGCTTCCATGAGAAAGGAAATTGTGTATCAGAGGCGACAGAACTGCAGAGAGCTGCTCTCAATGCACTCTGGCTTGGTTCTCCACTTACCTCATCAACAAATTGCTTTGAGGTGAATAGCCCTCAATTTATAAATTTACATAAGTTATTTCTACACAACGTAGACCAGCTCAATTAATATTTATAGGCCAGGAGCGATTCTCTTCCAAAGCAAGAAGGCTGAAAAAGCAGGCTTCTAATCGCTGATGTCAAAATGTGCCCTGGTGGAACATCAATGTCGACGATGACGGAGAGCTCGAATTTATAAGTTTGCTCCATGCTTGTTTGAGCTCTGACATCCACCACGCCTTTCCTGTGCTGAGGCAACAAATTCTGTTTTCACCATAAAAACTAATTCATACTTTGTGATAAAATCACATTTTTAGGATCAAAGGTCAAAGGTCCAGAACAACAAATCCAATTTGTTAATTCTGTTTACAATGTACAAGTGGTACTTCATGCCTACAACTGTTTATTAGTGACCCTAAGCTGCTCTAATTAATAAATATGAAGCATAATGAGTGTTTTTCCAAATTAATTACTTTCCATGCCTCAACAAATAAAATGGTTTTCTTTACTCAGAGCAACAAAGAAAGTAAACACAGTATCTCAATGTTTTATTTTTTCTTTCCATGTAACAACACAGTAAATGTCTGACACTTTGGTCTAAAGTTGTGCAGCTTGAAAATCTCCATAATGATGGGTCTTAAAACCATTCACTTAAATTGATTAACAGCCATCTAAATACAGATGTTAACATATGTAAAGTTTAGCAGTTAACAAAATTACATTTTCATAATAGAATTACAGTATCTTAAAATTATGACTTTTAGACAAATGTTTTTTATTATGTTGGAAACTATTGCTTTTGCTATGTTTTCTATAAAAACAGCATCACTTAAAGAAAATGTATTCCTCCTCTTTTTGCAAAAGTTTTATGTTTGTCCTTAATTTGAACAGAAAACAAACTTGTTAAATTCCAATATATCTTTTTTTTCCCCCAAATGTCATAAATGAGCCTTTCTACTGAGTTGAGGGTGAAAATGACTCTGTGAACTAGAAAGGTTGCAGATTCTCTTTGTTTAGTTTAGCTTTCTATCACGGGTGTTGGGTTTACTGATGTCTTTAAAACTGACTTTGGGTTTTTGTTCATTCCTGTGAGTCTCTGTGTCGTCCTGTAATGGACTGGGTACCTGTCCAAGCTGGACCTCAGTTACTGAAGATTTTTGTAGCCAAGTATTTGTAAAATTATATACATTATTGTAATAGACATATGTTATTTAGTTCAAACCTCTGCAAAGTGTGCCATAGAAACAGAGTGGGTCTGTGTGACCTGGCTTCAGATCAGAGTCATATTCAGATTCTCTGGTACAGAGTAATAACCTCTAATGCATGTAACTTTTATGCATTTATAAGAGAGAAAAGAGGCATCTAAGTCAGAGTGACAACAACAACTTGGAGCTCAACAGCTCTGGATCATGGAGGTAAATATTATTTATACTAGAAGCCAGCTACAAATGCCTTCAGGGGATTCTTAGAAACAAGCAGAGCAGCTCGTGGCTGAGAGGTTGCTGCTCTCCAGACAGTTTCTCCATCATTCCCAGCTGGAAAAAATTCCTTCTACAAACCTAACCAAGGGTTTAATTTTGGATTCTGTGGTAAATGAAGCAAAGATTAAATTCTCTTTATTTCTGTTCAAGAAGAATTAGAAGTTGTGATGTTTTTATCTCACAGGAGGTTTCTGCACCATCCTGTTTAAGGACGTTTCAGCCATGTAAGCACAGCATTACAAGCCATAGCTTCTGTTACATTACTTGAAAATGAGTATCTTTAACATTTGTAAGGGAAAAGATAGGCACTCGAATGAATGAGGTAGAGGAGGAGGTCATCTTTCTCTCGTTTTCACACAATCTCTCTGCGTTGTTTCTGCACAGTGGAACTGAAGTCGGTTCTGATTGGCCCGTCTTTTATCAGAACAATTGTTGAAATTCTTCCAGTTCAGCCAAGTTGCAGTAATGGGAAAAACTCACCTCAGCAGGTTTGCCTCATTTGAATTGCAGGAGCTGTTGCGCTCGATTAGCCAGTCTCCAAATTTTTAATGCAGCTCTTCTTATGAAGATTTTAGTTTTTTACATAAATAAAAACACAAAGCAAATAAGTTGGTGTGTTGCCATTGACTTCAAACATGGGCCATTTTGGCAAATGACAAATGCAGCTGTGTATTTATTTGTCGTGGAGCTTATCATTTTAATAATGAGGCTGAGTGAGCCGACAGTGGGGGAGTATTAAAATATGAGTGCACATTGTCACTATTTCAGTCATGGCGCCAGGTGGTGAATGCAAGATATGAGAAGTTGTGCAAACATCCTCAGACACCTTGAGGCAAAAGAAACAAGAGTGAATCTGTTAAAAACACTCAAACATAAACATGAAATTCCCAAAACTAAATGAGCCCAGTTCAGGAACACTTAAGTCCAAAATGGTTTCTAAATTATGGGAGAGAGAAAAGTGAGGTTTTGTCTCCATGATTACAGCTTGAACCTTCATAAATAAAGTAAAAGTCTATATTACATGTTAGTTGTATTATATGTTTACCTTCAACTCTGTTAGAAAGAGTTGAAGGTTTTCAGACATAATAATGATCACATTAAATACACACCAGGTTTCTACCACATTTAATCTAATGGAAAATTAATCTTCCTCTAGAAACACTGCAATCAGTGAGAAGATAAATACATTATTGTATTTATTTCGTTTAATATTCACCCACAGTTCTTAAAGCATTCTCCAAAATACTCCAGTGAGTCAGAATGCCCAGGATTGCCCTGCTGATATTAGCATCTCATATGTTTGCCAGGCAGCATAAAAAATATTGGGAACTGCATTACAGAAATGGCACCATCACTAGTAAAAACATCTAAAACAACATTAAATGTATTTTATTTAGAATAGCTTATTAAGGAAGGATTTTGTCACAGGATCCAGAAACTTTTCAAACCATTTTAGAAAAATGTACAGAAGAATAAATCTAAAGAGTTGAAGCATTTTTAAAACAACAGTTGACATAATTGCTCTGAGGGTAATTATAAAACTATAACTCTAGTTAATAATAATAAAAATGAATGGATGGGTAGTAATATTACTGATGTTGATTTTTCATATGAAACATTATTGAATGCTTTCACGTATTTAAATCATATATGTTAACTTAATTCCAGCATCTTTATTGTAAGACTTTACATTAATGAAATGCATTTATTGCTCTGATCTCACATTATGAAGAAAAAGACTCAGGTATCTAAATGAATAAATACAAAGAAACCCCAAAAGCTCTGCAGAGATTTATGAGATTAAGAATAAAAATGTTGTGACTGAATAAATATAGCAGAGCAGTTGGAGAAGTTAGGTTTCCCCTCAGTAAGCTGAGCACATTAGACATTGTATCACAGTGTGAACCACACAAAGTAACAAACCAGTTAAGTCAATGAAGGGATTATGAATATCGATACTGATGTAGCACATTTATGACCTCTCCTCCAAGGGAGCACTTCCCCTCTCTGTTCAGCAATAAAACACTGGTTATATAGGATCTCTCCAACATCGCTATATTTCTCTTTATACAACGGTGTCACATTTCCTTTGCCTCCAAGCTGGATGAATATTATATATCCGCTCAGGCAGAAAGCCACAGTGGAAGGATTAAGGGCTTGGATGACAAGGGAGGGCATAAGGGAAGATGAATCTGTAACAGGTTTATTGCTGTGGTCAAGATTCCAAAGGTTACCAAGAAGTCAGCTTTGACATATGCTATAAAAACAGCAAAAAAAGAAAAACGCTTTCGTGTAAGAAATAATGCCCCAAGGAGGGAGAGTGGAGGGAGAGTATCTTGTCCTCCTAACAGAGATAAAAGAGTTTCCTGTTTCACCACATAGGACAGTTTTAGTTCTTGTAGAACAAAGACTTTGTGGACCAATCTCTTCTTTACATTCCATGTTCTGGAAGCTGCTTCTCCTTTTGTACAAATTTGGTTAAAAAACTCCCTCAAACAATCCTGTTTGAACTTCAGAGATGGTTGTTTAATGTAAACTCAGGTGGACATAAACGGGGCATTGTTCTGCGAAGTGTTTGATCACAAACACTGGATGATGCACAGCTTCCTGTCAAATAGAAAAGCAACAACATTTTTTTTTTATTACTGAAGCATTGTCTGCATATCTGACTGAAGGCTTGGTCAGATAAACTCCTCTGAATCATATCTCGACATCTGCAATTGCTGCAGAACAGCAAGGAGGAGGAATGCCATCTCCATTCACTCCCAGCGGCATGTCAATCATTTGTTCCATTTGACCGGAAGACAATTGTTCAATGCCAGAGCAGATAATATTCCCCCACCTAAATCTGAAATTCAGTGCCTCTGGCACAGAAAGATATACTGGTTGCATAAACTTATGTGACAGGTAGAAGTGCATCTCGTCACTAGGTCCTCAAAAACTCTGAGCTGCAGCTGAATGTGTGTGGCTTTTTGTTGATTCTTCCAAATAAACAGATTTGAAACAGTTGACTGGGTTCTGATTGTGAAAGATTGTAGTTAGTAGGAGTCTGTTTATGAATTGATACAAAAACTGTACCAACAATGCCCTGCAAGGCAATTTATACCTCGTTTTGTTATGTTGCAACCACAAACTTCAATCCATCATCTGTAAATAGAATCAGCTCAACTGCGAACTAAAGAGGGGCGTTACGGCAGAGCACCAGGGCCAATGTACATCATTTCTGTCAAAAAGCTCAGAAATTGTAGGCCTGATATTATCAAAGCCATAAATTCCCTAATAAACATATCTTATATTATAATAAAAGGCACAAATGTGTAAAATCTAAACTAGTATATTTTCAGACATTGGAAATCTGATTTTAAAAAACACCCTTTGAAAATGATCCAGATGTGCATCTCAAAAATTTACAATGTAAACTTTTATTGATTTCTGTCGTTTTTTACTTGCAAATGTCTGACTTTATTATTCTTATACATCTATGAATTTTTCATGTCAGGAAATGTTTTATTCTAACATTGTAAATTTCAGCCCTTAATCGTAGAAAAATGCTATTTTATAATGATTTTTTTTCTTTTTTTCCCAACACATTTATCTCTGCATTTAAAACCCTGAAAACACAAAAGCTGCTCTAAATTACATCTTACTCATTGTCGAATAGGATACTTCATCACACCAGTTACATTAAGTGCTTGCAATCATTCTGCTAAAGGACACAGTGATTATATTCAGTCATATTTTCTAATATTTTGATATCAATCAATGCTCTCCCTGAGCCAACAGTGGAAAAAAAAACATTCAATTTGTAAATATAACAATCCCAATCAGTGACTGTCACAACTCTCATTAAATATTTTTTCCCCACTATAATTATAAAAAAATACAATTCCACACTTTTCAGAAATTACAAGTGTGAAGAATGTTTAAGGGGTGTATATACTTTTGCATTAAATACTAAATCCAGTAGAAGAAAACGGACTCTGATGTGCGTCCGTGACTGAGACTAAAGCAAAACTCTGCTTCACACTCAGTTCAAGTTTTGGGAGGAAAACCTTCAGATTTTTTTTTTTTCCTTTTAAAGATGTTTTAATAGCTGTCAGATTCTTGGAAGCAAATACATTTCCTGAAACTTTCCCATGCGTGCAGTGCAACCAAATTTAAACATTTACCAAACGTTACAGCTGCTGCAATCTCCTCTGAGCCTTACCTATGCAGTAGCAGAGAATGATGGAGAGCACTGCAGCCACGGCCACGGCGACCAGAGCAGTACATTTCCAGGAACAGTGTTTAGGTGACTTCTTGAACTTGAAAGCCCCCCTGGACAGAGTGTTTCTGGGCAAAGGGCGTGCAGGCGTGGAGTAAACGGTTCCTGTTGCCATGGTGTAACCGGGAGCTGTGGCGCCAAAGAACGGTGTGGTTCCTGTCCCCGTTTTAAATAGAAAGTGCCTGAAACAAAAAATGAAAATGAAGATTATCATCTTATGAATTTAAAAGCTGGTTGCTCTCTAGCATTAACTCAAATCCTAATAGCTTAAATGAGTTGCAAATCAGTTTAAGCAGCTAAAATCTTAATAAAAGTGATTAACTGGAACATATTTAACATCACTCAAAGACTCCAACATGAGCAGCTCTGCAGGAGGATCTCAGCGTTAATCTAATATCCAATCTTATCCTGACACTGAGAAAGGTGGACCAAAAGTACCTCATAAAAACAATAATCTCACTTTTGCCCTTTTACAACCAGGCCTTTGCTAATAGCCCATTATACCTGGGGTAATTAACAGGGTTTAATCAAATACACCACAGAGTGATCGTCTTATTAACTTTTAAACCCCAAGTGAAAAGCTCTTAAGTAAATGAATTAAGTCTTGTTGCCACACTTGCCACTACTTAGAGATTAATACCCAAATGCCTTCCGGCTTATGGGGACAGCCAGGGAAATTGAACAAATTGACCACGGTTTGCAGACATTATATCAGTCTGCAGCTGTATTATTATATTGCTTTTTCCTTTTTATTTAACCAAATTCTTAACAAATATACAATTTCACACTTGATTTTTTTGTATTGTTTTTATATCTGAAATAATTAGAAGCTCCAAACAAAAGGTTTAAATGAACACCACACTGTTCTTTTGCAGGTAATCAAATTGCTTGTGTGAGTTTAAAAGAAAGGAACAGAGAAACAGAATTTATCATTAGTGCAAAACAAAATCCTCTAAAAGTAAAAGCCAGCAAACAAAAGAACTGGCGTGCCTTTTTTAGAATAAAACCCCCTAAAACATAATCATGAATGGATTGTTTAAGGTGATTTTATTCTTCAGGAGAGGCTGCTCTGCATGAACACTTCACATGCTCTCTTGCACACATTCCACCTAAGGGTGCCTCTCTGGCTCCATCACGGTTCTGCCTGTTCAACTGGAACATTTTGGGCTGGAGCTCAACATTGTCCTTCAAAATGTAGAGAGGTCACAAGTTTCAGAATCTACTTAAGTAATCATATATAGTTCAGACATGGTACTTACATTTCCACTGCATAAAAGTACATTTAATTTTTCTTTCTTTCTCTCCCTTTAAACAGAATATTCCTGATGTCTTATGTTAGTTGGTGTGAGCCAAATAATCCAACTTTTTTATTTTTTATTTACATTGCTTGTTATCCAGCATCACAAGTTCACATAAAGTTTTTTAGCCTTTGGTTGGAATTTGTTTTTTAAAGTTGGGTCAAACATTTTGTTTGCAGTAAATTTAACCCGTTCTTCCAGACACACCTTTCTGTAAATGGGTCAGTCCTGCAAACTACTTTCCTCTCACACACCTTTTCAACTCTAATCACTAATTTTGTGAGATGTTACAAGACGGTCTCATCAAACTTTAGTAAAGTCCCTCCTGCAGAAAAATCCCTCAAAACATGATGCTGCCACCGTCGTTTCCTGCAAATATAACAATGATTATTACGAGCATATTCAACACAGATTGCAGAACCTGTCTCAAAAAATAGATGTTGGTGACAAAATAAATTTTTAAGAGTCTAATGAAAAAAACCACAAAGATCTTTTTTGAAGAAAAAACAGGAAAACCAAGAATTAAACTATATTCATATAAAAACCTAGTCAGACCAATTAACATGATATACTGAAAGTTTCTGAAACTTGCTTTGCTCCACTAACATCTTCATTTTTCTGTACTATTAATTGTCCTATAACATTTCTCCTCACTTTGGTGGTTAAAGGGTTTTATGTCTGTACAGATCCCGAGAGAAGAGGTTGCCAGGGTAACTCCAAATTCAAATTTACCATTATATTGAAAAGGCCTGTTTGCTCATCAATTATTTGTGCAGCATTTGTGAAGTATCTATGTAATCTTTGTAAAGGCTGTGATTCTTTACTAAAGAGCTTGAAATCTGGCAAACTGATTGGAAAATCTAATGCAGAAAGCAGAAATTTTTTGCAATTCCACTAAAGTGCTCTGGTTCTGTCATCAAAACACTTCAATGCAAAAGGATTTTCTTCATAAAGGTTCCTACGTCGAGTGGAGTGTGTTGTTTCTACATGCTCACATTTCGGTGCTGCTGCTGATATTTCAGCCGCTGTTTGTCTCCTGTGAGGTTCCCTCTGAGGTAAAATCTGTTCTGATCAATTCTTGACTAAAAGAACAAATGTCAGATGAGCTCTTTGACGCCCCTGACTGACACGTGCCGTTATGATCAGACAGGGATTCCATTTAAAGGTTACGATGCCACATAGATGGAATGACAATGCAGCCTGCTTCTGCAACCAGGAAAAGTAATGATTACTCATTCTAGAACAATCCGTGCTGTAGCTGCAGCACCAGACTCCGTAATATGAAGTTCGGTAAGAAATGAGGTCAAAACTTGCCCGACGTTGGCGGCGGCAGACGTGCAGTCAGACACACAGGCAAATAGACCCTGCTGTCTGGGGAGTTAAGTGTAAGTAGATGCAATCTGATGAGCTCGACAGACTCGTGGATTCGTGCACACGTGTGCAAGAAGAAACTGTACTCTATCTAAGGAAGGTGCATACCTAATGCATTCTGGGTAGATAGTGTGGAAACAGTGTTGCCTGCAAACAGATGCAGTGAAATCTGTGCACAATCTTATTTAAGCTATGCTATGAATATATTATTCTCTTATGGCCTTCAATTCTAAAGCAGATGAACTTAAGAAACACACAAAAAACAACATAATACCATACAGAAATATCACACATATTCATACTAGCCAAAAAGTTCTTGTTTTTCTATGTTTCTGCCACAAACTTTATTATATTTTATTGGAATTTCAGATAATAGACCAAAAAATAGTTTGATTTTGAAGCTGAAAATCCCACGTTTGTGGTTTAAATATGATAAAATGGGCAATAGATCAGATGGTAGGAATATTTTTGCAAGGCACTACAAGATACTACGGACACAGCAGACATGTAAAAAGTTGCATCCAGAAAATATACACTGTTGAAAACGACTTCTGGGTGTTCATACCAGAACACCAGTGAATGAGAGAAAATCTTTATGCTCCAGCATCTGAGACAAATTCCTTTTTTGGACATTTATTACACTTGACATTTAAAGTAATTCCCATGTTGATGGCTTTCATGTTACCCCTCTGTCTTTTCTTTCTAAAATGCAGACTGAAGGGGTCTAAAGATAAACTCCTGTTGGACATGATTAACAAACAGCAGACTAGTGTAAATGTCTTCTGCTATAGACACTGGATGACCGGCTGTAATTGATTCCAGTCAGTGTGATGCAACATGGCACATTACTATGCTAATCCTGCCAGTGGTGTGTTGTGAGCGCAAGAGAGAGAGAAGGAAGAGAGACAATGAGGAGAGTGTGAGGCTGAGAATGAATGCCTGAGTATCGGTGAGATGGCGGCGTGTTGGTGTGCACGCCTGTCTGTCCCATTGAGGAGCCTGAAACACAAAGGCGGCAGCCGGCCTGCTCTCCTCTGCACTCACAACATTGCTTGTCATCGTGTTGACATTTAAAACATGCTCAAAGAGGACAAAAGACTAAACACGGAGTGGGTGGATGTGTCCATGGCTAAGCTACAGCTGTAGGGACGAGAGAGCACATAAGAAACAATGAGGATGGAGCGCTTCAGAATGTGTAATCTGCATGTTCACCAGCGCTCTGAGTTAGCCCTAGAAATCCAAGGTGAGAGCTGGAATAATCAGGTTGCTTTAAATATGGCCTTAAAAAATGACCACAGATGTAATTTGACATTGCAGTGCCTTGTTTTCACACTCGCTGTCACAGTGGTCTCCTCATCAAAGCACCACCTGCCCTGTTGACAGGGGGTCTGCTAGCAGGTGCTATGATGCTGCTGCTAGCTCTGCACCATGAGATTTTTCTTCAGTGTCATCCTGCCCAATGGAAGCAGCGGGGGGCAACCCTAGATTGCTACTACAGGGGCCTCAGATTATTTGCAGGTGGGGTTTTATCATTTTTAATAATTCTGATTGTGTTTGACAGAACAACTGTTCAGCTGTTGTGCACAAACTGTAATTGGGCATATCATTATGACCACCTACCTAAACTACCCCAATCCATTGAGTCATGCAAAAATGCTTGATTGTGTTATAAAATGGAGCAATCACAACCCCATCAACACCTCAAAAAACAGATTGATTTATTGCATGTGCTGCACCCAACAGTCTTGGTTTTCACAGCTATTCCTTTTTTTTCACATGCTCATTTAAAAGTGTTTATATAAAAGTTTATAAGTTTAACTGGAAATCAGCTTTTGGGATCCTGGTTCTTCAAATGCTGAGAAGCTTTATTGCAGCAGACCCAGAATGCATGGCATTTGAGTGGGTTCTCATCTTCCTGCTGCAGACCAGTTGGTCTGTGCAGCTTGCCGTCTATCTGAATACTGTCAATTAATGTATTATAAAAACTGATTCATAAAGTGGTTTCAAATTAAATAAAATATAGATATAAATTATTTATTAGCCATTGACAAGGGGAACCTTATTGTACAGTGATGAATTTTATTTATTAAAAATGGACATACTTTATGGCTGCAGCAAATGATCAGATTTTTGGGGTCCAAACGTGAAAGAGCAAGAAAAGTTTAAAAATGGGAGATTAGTTGCTCTATTTGCTCCATACATGTGAATGCATGGACTCCACTAAACGTGTCCTGGGGAACCTGATGTCCAGATGTCAGTCACAGATCCTCTGAATCCTGTGAGCTGGGGGCTTGAGCCTCCATGGGTTGGACTTGTTTGTCCAGCACATCCCACAGATGCTCCACTGGATCGATAAAAGCCACCTTCGTCCACTGCTCTGTGGTTCAGTCCTGGTGCTCTCTTCCCTTTGGTTGGTGCTTTTGACTCCATACAATGGCGAGCATGTGTTTGACAACAAGCTACAAAGTACGATGTATTTCAACATGTACACTGTTCATTCTTCGGACTTCTTG